TTATTTCAAAAGCATTTTGAAAGAGAGGGTTTTAAGGTCTAAAATATTTTGATCAAGATTGTTTTGGTCCAAATAGGAGTATGAAGTTGAGATTTGACTCTCTTCTTGCCGAAAAAATCGACCCTTTGCACTGCATAACTTCCAAAACCATCAGTCGCGTCCAAGTCTTAAAGGCGGTAAAAAATGGGGTGTCTACAGGCGGCCAAGCGTTCGGTATTCTTTTTTCGTGCCATCTGCATCAGGCTTTCCCCAGCCATATCCTTAGAGAAATCGCCGGGAAGGTCTCCCAAGTTTGTAAAGATATCTTCGTAGGCGTCCCCTCGGCCTGATGTAAACAGAGGGTCAGAAGAGTTCAACCCGGCTTCCTCGAATGCCGAATTTATGGCTTCGTCAACTTCCGCAACCAACTCCTCTGGGTCCTCAGCGATTTGTTCAACCACTTATTCGTTCTGAGAGTTAGATGATTCGAGGCCGATCTGTCTCAAGTTTTTGAAGCTGGGGAAGATCAGGGCCGTCAGATGGTCATCGCCTCGCGCGATGGGAATATTGTCTGCCGCCGAGAACGTCGTATAGGTGGGGTCGTACTGCAACAGAATATGGGCTGCCCTTCTTTGCTTTTTAAGGTCTGGACGGCCGAAGAACTGTAACGCGGTCTTGATTTCTGCGAGCACAACTTCGTCATCTGAGACCAACACTCTCTTCAAATCACTGCCTGCATAAATAAAACAGTTAGGTGAGATACAGTGCCGAATAAATGCATACGTAAATGACAAAAACAAAGTGACCTGGTCGGCCACCTGGTTCGTCTTTTTGCCTTGGCACAAGATCTAGGCGATCTGCCTCTTCGCCGAATTCTCAATTGCCTCGGACTACGACCATCACGTCGTCGACACGCTTGCCAGAGCTAACAAGCATGGTCACTAAGTGGTGGTCAGTATCCTTGGCTCTAAGGAAGTAGCGTCCTAGCCGACCAGTAGATTTGGCAAGGACGTAACAGTGCCGAATGGCGGGGATACCTAAATTAATTCTAAAAAGCCGATTTATTTTTACGATTCCCATTATGATGCAGAAGAAGTTCACATTGGGCTGGGAAGGGATGAGACCCCAGTACCGAAGGACGGCCCTCAAAAGTGGGTGAAGAGAAAAACGGACGCTGCCCTCTGCAATTGATAGGAGAGGAAAGACGATCGAGTTCTCATCTTCTCTTACCATATCAGTCGTACTGTCTGCCAGAAGTGACAGATAGACGTCGTCGGGGATGGAGAAATGACGTCTAAAGTCGGAAATTCGATCCGCAGAAAGGAGGTCCTTCAGGTGTTTTGCCACTTTTTGGTCGACCCAAGGATTATAAAAAAAAAAAAAAAAACTAACTAAAAGCGGATAAAGAAAGGGATCAAAAAGAATGCAGGAGAAAGAAGCCTTACAAGAGGAAAAGGAAAAGGTGAAGAACAAAGGGTTGCAAAAGCCGCGGAGGAGTCCCACTAGAAGGTGAGCCAGATATCTTTGAGTATGCAAAACATACATTCGAATCGCATTAAATGGAGGCAGTGTACGAAAGGGTGGGAAAGCGTTGCAATGACCAAGGAGCATGAACGCGTTCTGACACGCATCGGGAAGAGGAATAACCGCCGGATTTCTAACCTCCAAACCAGGAGCCAAACACGCCGACTAAACTGTTGCTAGTAGGGTGTTTGAGGGGCAATTGTGGGAGCCGAATAAATTCTGGATCAACGAGAGTAAGACAGGTCGGCCCTGAACGAGAGTAAGACACTTCTATTCGGCATTTACCGTATCCAGTTGAGGGGTCGAGTATAGGAGCCGGCGTTCCTACTAATAAGTGCCGTGTAGGAATGCATTATAGGGGCTAGGAGTGGGCCAGGCTCCTAGACCAAAGGAGAATACTATAAATAGGAGACTTGCAATCTTGGAAAGGTATGTGTGATAATTGTGGTATTTAACTTAGAATATAAGTAATCTAGAGCTGGGGATTGACTTGTCTGTCGGAGTGCTAATTCCGGCACGCCCGACCGGAGTGTTTATTTCCTTTCAGGTGACTATCGGAGGATCACGAGCGCTCCTCAGGATCAAAAGAGTATTTCCAAAAACCACTTCTCCACAACAGTGTAAATAGATAATCATAAGATTCTCACAATGTTTATAGTCATATTTTCATATATTCAAAATGGCCTTAGGCCCAATCATATAACAAATAGCCTCAGGCCTAATCGTATATCCAAACGGCCTCAGGTCTAATCATAAAACAAGTAGCCTCGGACCCAATCATATAACAAGCGGCATTGAATCCAAAAATATAACAAGCGGCTTCGGACCCAAACATATAACAAGCTGCATCGAGCCCAATCATATAACAAGCGGCTTCGGGTCCAATCATATAACAAGCAGCCTCGAGCTCAATCATATAACAAGCGGCCTTAGGCCCGTATTGCACATGGCATATAATATTAATGAAGCTCCTTTCAATCAAATGATACATTTAAGTCTGATTCCAAATCACATTAAAGCTTGTTTCAAATCACATAGTATCAAATATTGCTTATCAAACCTTTCATAACTCTAAGTCGTAGCGGAGTAACCGAGGCCTTAATTAACTTGCTGAATTACCAACAGAACAATCATCAAAGTTTGACATCATATAAAACGTTTATCGCGAATCACTAGCATATGCAAAACGTCTAAGACGGATCATAGACGAATAACAGTTACTGAGGGTCAAAGTACATTTTCCCAATTTATCATAATCATTCCTCAAAAGGAAACTCATTCATTCTTATCAAAATATTCTTTCAGAAACTTGCCATAGCATAATTGCTCCGAAGATTTCAAGCATATATTATCATTTCGAAAACACTCGTCAAGGCACATAATTTATACAAAGCATAAGTTTTTCAATTCCAAAGTATTTCATATGAAAATACCATTACAAAGAAATTACTCACAGTGCTTGATCGGATAATACTCCTTAACAACTTAGCCTGCACAAACATAACCAAGCATAACATTTCAAAACACATTGCCTTCAATTCATTCAATCGATTTATTCATTACATATTTGTTCAATCATTCCCCATTCTTTAATCCCTCTCAAGTATTTAATGCTAACCTTTTCTATATGTGATTCAAGTACAAAGCTTGTGTCAAAGATGTACTTTAAACGACCCTAAATGTTCATGACTTAAATTAATATTTCCTACAATAATTTCATATATTTTCCATTGAAAATATCATAGTTACATATTTAAGGTTTAAGGAAATAGCAAAAAGCGAAAGGGGACTGGGTTAGGGTAGGAAATGGCATGAAACGGTTAAAAGAAAATATATAGCCTTTAGTAATTTGAGCATGTCTATTTGTGTACTTAAAATTTGGATGTGAGACTATTACCATTAGAAATTAGACTTCCAGGGCTTGAATTTAGGCTAAAAAATCACTTAAAATGGAGTCTGGATGAGGATATATTTTTTTGAAACTACCAGGTATAAGCTGAAACAGGGTTGGCTATACGTACACCTACTTTGACTGCTCGTGTGATGACTGGGCCGCTCGAGTGGTCAACTGAATGCAATTCCTTGTTTTTGTTCATGTTCCGCTCATGCGAAGCCCATGGCCGCTCCTACGGTCTGGGCAAAATCAGACAGTCCGAAAATGGTTCAAAAATTTCAACTTTCCAAATCCATTTCGAAGTCAAATGCAAAGCAAAACTAGCTCAAAACATAGTGAACTAGCATGATTCAAGGGTAATTACATCTCGAACACATCAATCTTGCTTCAATAACAAAATCAAGGTCTTATCTTTTTCATACAATCATGAATGTCTTACCCAAGCTCAAAATACATACAAACATGGTGAATCTTCCAACAAATCTTGGTTGTATAAACCATCTATAGTTTGTTTCATGGATCAATCACAAGAATGAACTCAAATCAAACAAAAATGAAAAGATTTCATGATTTTATTCAAACCGTTACACAACTCAAAACCCTAGTTCAAAACTTCTAATTTCTTCTTGATTCCATGACAAGGATGAATTAGAGACAAAGATTATAAGTAAATTTTCATACCTTAGCTTTAATCTAGGGTTTGTCCTTTGAAACTCTAGCAAAATCCTAACTTCCTCTCTTCATCTCTCTCTAACCCACACTCTAGCAAGTCCCAACAAGAATGAAGAACACAAGAGAACTAGAGATAAATAATTTAAGCTAATTAAACATTACGAATTGTAATTTTTTAACATTTCACTGTAAGCTCTATAAATCATGTTAATCACAGATATGAGCTCGGCTTTGATTTATCACACTTTTAAGGCTTTCAATTTTCAGTTCAAAATTCCAATTGCAACAAATATTATTCCAAATTCACATAATTTATAGACTTAAACTTGCAAATTCATATCAAATACATAATTACATGCATAATTAAGCATAATACGGGTTAAATTATCACACGTATTCTATAATTTTGTTGTGTATAGAGAGACAAATAAAACAACATATTTTTTTATCAAAGGGAGCAGTTTTCTTCAATTTTGAATGTATCCCTCTCCCACCTCCCCTCCCCCCGTGCAATGTTGTAAACTTTGTGTGCTTTAGTTTTAATTATTAAAGAAAAAGCATGTTTCAAATAAAATTAAAACAATGAGTTTATGTTATAGTTTTGAGATCTTTGACCATAGCTCCAGGCATCTAAATTTTATTGCCAAAAAAAAAAAAAAAACCCTAATAAATTTTCACACTTTAAATATCTCAGTAATATAGAACTAATTTATTCGATCAAACTACCCCTACAACATTCTTAGATTGTTAAGTAGCTTAATTTATAGAAGTTTTCACAACTAAAAAATTCATTGTATGCCATGAGCAAGAAGATCAACCATTCAATACCTACTTAGAACACTATTTATCAATATATATATATATATTACCAACCTAGAACACTACCTTCTCAGTCAATACAAAATGATTTTTTTTGGCTGTTAATTCCAAATTACTTATAAAGAAGCATGTGGTGCCAATCAATTCCCACCTGCCTCGCAATTTCGAGAATCATAGAAGAGCCTCAAACAACGGTTCATATTTTCATATGCAGATGGTTATGATCTGAAGATTTTGGTAATCATCAAACATTCCCAATACTTCTTATTCATCAGAAACAACATGCCTAAAAACCTCACGGTACATAATAAGTTTGCCATACCATAGTCATAAAAACATATTCATATAGACACCATCACCCTCTTGCTTCAGAGCTGGACTGGTTCGGGTTTGTAGTCAACAACAAGGAATTTCTCCAAAACGGGGAGAAATATATTTGCAAATTCAACATGGGCTGGATGAGCAACGTACTCCGCAATGCCTTCCACGCTCTCAAAAGTTGACTCGAAAACATGAGTGAAACCTTGATGCAGGTTCTCAATGCTGACGTCCTTTCCCCTGTTAAGAGAGTATGACAAAGAAATGAAGGAGAATTGGCAAATGCCCAGGAATAATGCCCAAGAACATCAATTGTTCAATAATTTCTAAAATGTTAGCTTAAATTTGCACTTTCTTCATCATATACACATGGCATAGAGAACTTTCTCTAACCCAAAAATTAAAAAAGAAAAAGAATAGAGTTTCGACTATAGCACACAAAGACAGATGGCCTAATAGTCATTTTTTGAAGATATGTTGGTGGAGAGATACTAGAATTGTCATTTGCTTCTGAATTTTGGGCAGAAGTTAGGAAAACATCTATTGATTTTAAAGATATTATTTGAACTCAGAAAGCATTTAGTGCAACATCCTTGAGTAAACGGACCAAAATTTTGTGATAGCACTACTTCAGAAAAGATGTCGCGACTCAATAGAAATTTCAAGCACCTCATGTGAATATCCCCAATTTCAAGTGCCTGAATATAGATGGCCAACGCAGCAAAAGAGTGAATTTTGGCTTATCAGTAGAACCAAAATCCAGTTCTTTGGTGCCCATTAGAGAATCATAAAAAGCATCAAAGCAACGAAATCGGCAACAAAAGGTTTCTCATACAGAGAAATCCAATTCTAAAATAAACTAGATAATAAGAACTAAACAATTCCAAGTAGCAAGTCATGAAAATTTTAAAATTCTAATACATAAACATTGTTTCAAATGGAAAGACTACGCATCCCCATAATACTCATACAATTGTTCTTGGCTGTCCTCTTCAAGTGTAGCAAATCAAAACATCGAACTGATCACACAATAGAAAGATATAAAACTTCATAAAGATAGGTTATGATTCGAAATTCATTCAAATCTATCTACAGCAACAAAATTGAGAGATACCCATATGTTTAGATCCACAAAATGTGCAAAACCCAGAAATTAATTGTAGAGAACACAAAGAACAAAGAAAAAAACACACATGCAAAGGGTGAGTGGTGTGGTACCAGTGGAAAGACTTCATGGGCTCGATGTGATGGACAAGGTTGGCGTAGCCCTTGATGAGTTGATCAATCTGGTCAGGTGGGATGTCATCTTTGAACTTGGCTAGCAAGATGTGCTTCACCACTCCCTTGGGCTTGGCCGCCTCCATCTCTCTCTCTCTCTCTGTCCCTCCCTCCTCACCTCACCGCTTCTTATAATGATATGATATGATGATGGTGACTTTCGACTTGCTAGTTGTTAGGTAGGCCCGTTTGTTTTCATACGCAGGTATTAATAGTGGAAGAATTAAATAAAATTATATTTATTTTTTATAATAATTATTAGTGTAAAAATTGTTACATTATTTTTATATAAAATAAATATAAAAATATTAAATATTAATATTTAAAAAAAATGACCTAACATGTCAAAAATTAAGAAAAAAATAAAACAAACAAAATAATGATTTTTACTTAACAAAAAATATAAAAAAATTAAACATTAATATTAAAAAAAAAACCTAACATGTAAAAAATAAAAAAACAATTAAAAAAATAAAAAATTTCTAATCCAGCAGACTATTTTTTTAATATCACCTTCACCTCCACCACCACCTCCACCTCCACCTCCACCTCCTCCATTTCAATTCTCGTTCGAAGGTCCAACCGAATCCTTTCCTTCATCTCAATCTCTTCTTCAAATCTACAAACAAACACAATATTAAATAAATAAAAAATACTTGGTGGCCTGAATTTGTATGATCTGAATGATTCGAATGTGTCAAAATGACGTCGTTTTGTACTTAAAACGACATCATTTTTTATATTTCGAACAATTCAAAATATAAATTTTTAAATCACCTAACATTGTTATAAATAAATCTCACTTCTATTCTAATCTCATTCCTTCCTCTATACCCAAAACAAACGGGCCTTATGTTGTGCGTGATGGAGCCGTTGTGATTCACACAGACAAAGTGAGAAGAGTATCAAATAACTTCAGATTTGAGTCTGATTTTGTGAGAAAAAATCTGGACTGGTTAATGCAATCCCCTGCTGTTTCTACCTAAGATCTCACCAAGCAGAATATGGCACGTGTACCAAGGAGGCAATCGAGTCAAACACATATTTTAATGGTGGTGAGGAATGCGATTTTATTAAAAATTGAGTAAATTATAAACGCATTCCGAAATTTGTATAAATTACGAATTGTTTCTTGTAGTTTTAAAAAATTATATTTTGTGTTTTGAAATTTTTAATTTTACAATAAATAGTTATTTTTATTAATAAATTATCAAGTCAATTAATAAATTTTAATGATATTCGAAATTTATTTCAATTAATAATTCATGTAATTTTATTATTATATACGAAAATAGTTATGAATTTTATTTTTTTTAGTTTATTCTGTTAAATAAAAAATTCTCACATGAAAATATTTCTAATTTTTCAAACTGTAATGGACAAATTGTATTTTAAGCAAATCTTAGAGATAAAGGTGTAAATTCGGCCTAGTCGGGCCAGGCCACGTGGAAAAAATCTCGGCTTAGGCCCAAGCCTACTCAAAATCGTGTTGCAGGCCTAGGCCGGGCTTAACTATTTTTTTAAAAAAAAAAAAAAAAAATTCTACCAAAATAGCTTGAAAATAATATTAGATCTCAAACGGTCCTTGGAGCGAATCGGTGGGCCAGGCCAATAGGTCGGCTGAGCCCAAAAACATGCGGCCCAGGCCTTGACCCATGTTCACGGATTGGGTTGGGCTCAAACTCGGGCTGCAAACGAACTTTGGATGGACTGTGGCCCGGTGGGCCAATTATACTCCTCTACTCAGGGGGTGTATTTGTAATTTGCTTTTAAAAATTTTACTTCACACTCACATATATAGAACCCACATTCATATGAGTGTATTTGGTAAAAAATTTAATCACATATTTAGGATCTTTAATTTTATTTATCCAAATTCGTATAACACTGTATGATATTACTTTATACTCTTTATTTTTTACTAACTAAAATATAAAAAAAGATAATTATTTATTTTACTTAATTTATTTTTTATTTATGTACTCCCACTACAAGAATTAACACTTTTGGCAACAAAAAAATTGGTCGCTAAAAGTCAATTTTTGGTCGGCAAAAGTTAACCGCGACCAATTTTTTTGGTCGCTACTTTGGTCGCCAATTGAGGGTCGGCAAAAGTAATTCGCGACCAAAATTTTGGTTGGTCGAGAAAAATTAAATTTGCCGACTAAATTTTTGGTCGCTAAATATTTAATTACCGCGACTAATTCATTTTGTCGCTAAAATACTTTGGTCACGAAAAGTGATATTTTTCCGACCAAATATCTTAGTCGCCAATTGTCACATTCCACGACCAAACAGATTAGTTGCCAAAAGTTGAGGAATCGCCGACTAACAATTTAGTCGCAAAAAGATAAGGAATTGCTGACCAATGATTTTAGTCGCAAAAGTGTAGAATTTGCCGACCAATTTTTTAGTCGCCAAATCTCTCTCTTTTTTTTTTTATATTTGTATTTGTATTTGTAATCAATATTATTGTAATTGTAATTTTTCATTTATAATGAAAAGTAAGTCGAATCTTAAACAGAAAAATTCTCCTTGCAAAAAAAAGGTACATGGCCCAATTTAGACTGCATTAACAGTTAAAAGTTGTTGATTTTTTTATTTTTCATCAATTTAAAGGGACTCCTGACTTGTAATTTTCTGAGCTTGGCCAAGTTCATATTCACATGTGTGCCTATCATCAAAATCACTGTTAAAGTGACATTTTTGGTAACGTTTTTTAATTTTTAATTTTCAGTTTCTATTTTTTATTTTTGAATTAAAATAACAAAAATTTGTTTGTATACAATTAGGATAAAATTAGATGCATTATTTTTTAACATATTTTTTATTGTTTGCTTACAGTGGAAGTAGAGCCCACACCATGTGATGATATGGACTCTATTTCAATTGTAAGTAGGTGATAAAAAATATAATACAAAATGGTTTCTGTAGTAGTTATTTTCCAAAAAAAATGAAAATGATTCTAGAATTTTCAAATATTTAAAAGGGAAAAAAAAAAAAAAATGTGTATTTGCATCTAGGGGAGATTTGTAATTTCCCATTATTGGGTCCGTAAATGCCAATAATGTATTCTCAACCAAATTTATTGGTCTAAAAAAGTGACGTAAATATTGCCCAAGTGCAAAAGCGAGAATATCAATAGTCATTTTTGAAATCTTATAAGTAAATTATCATAAGTTTAAATTTGTACCTAAAACATTATTTTTAGGGACCAAATTCAACTAGTCTCTAAAACACTAATTTCTTGTAGTGAGTAAGCTACAGCAATGAAAAACCCCGTTACCATATCTTCAAGTTGTAGCAACAGTTTGAAATAGGGACAAATTTAGCAATGGCTTCTTAACAGCTGATTAAAATTAGGCTGTTATTCTCACTTTTTCCTGCTTATGTAGCCTTTTCCTACATGCTTATTAAAACAAGCACTTCATTTTAAACCCTCCAAAAGTTTGAAATAGGGACAAATTTGCATTTCCATAATAACAGTAAAACTCATGAAACCATAATTAGATGGTACATTATACAAACTTGTCACAGTACAAAAACAGACAAAAGGATCCAATAGCATCGTCATAACACCATAATCTCTACCTATGTACATCCAAAATCTTATCATAGTATAAAAGTATTATACAACAACCTCCATGAGAAAAAAGATTCAAAAATTAATTGGACAGGAGCAAAGAAACTGCAAATGATCCAGCCATAAGAGAGAGGCATAACCCCAAGATGACAGGAAGCAATTCCGTGACAAAATAACTTTCCATTTGCATATGCTAAGTTCAAACAAATCAGAAAATTAAAACGCATGCACTCCAGCTCTCCACCCCTAATAAGTAAGATCAACTTTGGGTAGTGGCATATTTCACATACAGCAAGTTCAAACTGCAACGGCTTGACTAAATAAACATCTTCAACTGTAGATTTGTAAGCTGTATGATTTCAACTTCAACTGTAGATTTGTAAGCTATAAGGATAAAATTGGCATTACAAATTAACAAAGTGATGACATTATCTTTTTCCATCATTCTCATTGATGGTATGTCAACAGGGGGGAGGTATATACATAATGTTATGTTAGATATAAGTAAGAGAGGGCATATTTCAAAAACACAAGGAAATGGCTGGAAACCTCAAGGAGGTCAATGTAATTTACTTTACTAATAATGATTAGTAGTCATATTAGATGTGGTAGTGGTACCAACCTAATTGATTAAAAGCCTTGCACACAGTGCATCTGGAAATACTTCAGGATCTTTCTGAGCATCTTTCCTCATTATATCTAGAACTCTACGTGGCAAATATGGCATTTTTTAACATGCAACTGTCAACTGAGGTGATTTAACTCTGTTAATATCTATAAAACCTGAACGAAAAGATATAAGCTTCTTGCATTGTGAAAAAGCTACTTACCTAGCAGCTATTCCTTAGTAAACATCAGCAGGTTTTTCTCCAGCAACCAAATTGACAGCAGTTGCTCCCAACTGAATGAAAAAAATCCATCAGAGAAGCCAGAGATAGGCAACAAAACAGGAAACAAATTTTTTCTTAGCTCCAATGAAATAAAAGATGACATTTCTCTGGCTATATTTCTCCATTTACTTTGATTCTAACTGCTGCTAAATTTCGTAAAAGCAATGAATATTTAACGAATCATAACTACTGGTCTCAGCTTCTTATACAGTTATTAAAAGCTTATGGGATTGTTGATTGATTGGTGAAGTGAACAAAACAACCTATCAAGCATAAGAGAGTGGGTTCAAGTCCTATCATAGTAGAGCGAACGTGTTCGCAACACCCCAAATTTAAAGTGCCAACATAGCATATGAGCCTTCTTTTCCTAAGTTTTCAAGTACTTAATATCTCTGGACTGTCACTTCAGGTAGTCAGGGAACAGGTTATACTAATAAATGGATCGAGTTTGGTTACTCAGGAAGTTATGATGGAGTAGTACCAAATAAGTGGATAGAAATAATTGGCAAATGACATGGAAACCCACAAACTCATACACAAGTAGCTTATTAGCAATCAAGCTTCTTTAGAATGCAGATCTTAAAGAAGAAGAAAATAAACTCATGGATTTACTTACAGTTCTTTCGAGGCCCTTGCGAACTAGTGGATCACATTCAATGACACCATATCTTCTGCCGATGTTCCTGTTGAATAGAAAACACAAAAACCACAATATGAAGTGTTGAAGACTAGCAGGAAGTTTGTCTATCAATAAAACAATGAAAAATGGATATTTACTTTTCTTTCACTACAGTTTTTAATGAGTGTACAAACGCAGGTCGAATATCAGGTGGACCATCAGCTAACTGATCAGCCCGAGGCTGTATATAGGCAGTTTGCAACAGTAATTCAATTAGACGAGTCCCAACCTGAAAAGTAGATGAAGGATTGAACCTTTATATAATTCAGTTGTCACAATTATGGTTGGTGCCTAATTGTCCAGGGCGTAATGATAACATCTTAATAACATCTTACACCTAATTTGGTGGCTCACCTTCTCCAAGTAACTGGTAATAGATTATAGGACCAAAACATGACACTAATAGGCCCAAGTGAGACAATGATAGGCTGTCAAAAACATAGAAGAGATGGGAGAGGAAGTTGACATAGAGTTTTATTCTTAATAATCTCTCAGGTCTCAGCCAATAATCCTTTGTGAATTTACAAAGGTATATTCTTGACACTGCAGAAATATCTGAACTAGAATTAATTTATAATTGGACTCTACCCTCATTAACATGTACACACTTTTTCAAGAGAACATGTGATAAAGCATATGTCAAAAGAAAAACAAGACAATTTACAAAAGTTTCATAGTCCATACCTGCAAGGCATTTTCATGAAATTCATTGTGCACCTGCCTCAGATGTGATCTTGGCAACTGGGGAAAATAAAAAGCATAAATCACTTACATACCAAACAGGAAAAAGGACCTCAAATACTAGAAGAAAGCTGGCAGTATAAGAGTGTTTGCAACGTCATCACTACCTTTTGTGGCAACATTACCAGTCACAAAAAAAAAAAAATTAGCATAGAGGTTGAAAACATGAAAGTTAATAATGGTGTTTCTGTTGCCCCAAGGAGAATGCATCAATTTTATAAAGTTAATAATCACTTATTGAATAAACATGTATAGATGGATGCACACATGCATATAAACATGTATATAAACATCACATTATGCTTCTTTTTATCAGGCCTTTTCTTTCTGGTATATATATCTACCAATTCACAAAAATCCTTCTCATAAGAAGATGGGGATGATGTTCTACTATGCTTTACCTGTACATATCAAAAAATGAATAGGAAAGATTACTGCAGGAATGAATAGATGGATGCACACATGCCCACACATGAGTCACCTTAGTTTCAGAAAATTTATAGATATTTATGTATAGAAATTCTGGAATTGAAATACCCAAGGTCTAGAGTCAAAATGCAGAAAAAATCATTAAGTGCTACTTTAAACTTCTTATTAATGCATAAAAATGCAATAAAAGAATAAAAACATACCACTATTCTAGAATCTACCCATGACAAGAGACTTTCCACTATTCTAGACTTGGACACTGCAGGAGAAATATAGACATGAAAAAAATAAACCAGAGTTTTGGTGAAAATAAAATAGGGTTTCGAACTAGACATGAAAAAAAAATCACTAGATATGAAAAAAGGCATAATAAGGGCTATTCTTGAAAAATCACTAGACATGAAAAAAGGCATAATAATGATTAGGTCCACATGCAATCAACACTGAAAAAAAAATCACTAGACATGAAAAAAGGCATTGCTTCTATGAGAAATATAGATATTTGGAACTATTTTATTTTTCTGGTTATAGAACAGGATTTTGGTGAAAATATTGAGGGCTATTCTTGCATGTAAGCTGTAACTGGCAATAGTAAGTTTGCTATTTTTCTGGTAAGAGAGAAAAAGGAAGGAAAAAAAAAAAAAGGATGGCAAGAATCTAGGAATCTTGACCATAATATTTTAGGAATCAGACCCTTGACGTTAGGCTACATCACAAATGACTCAAACTCAAACCCTAAATGTTTGTACCCTTTTCTTCAATATTACAAGAAAAAATACATAATAATGGGCTGCTGGAGTTTTCCAATCATTAATACGATTAATACTAATAATGGGAAGCTGAATGACTATTGGAAATCTCTCTAATGTTACTAGAAAGATAATTCCTACATTCAACCAGTCAGGACCAATGTTACTAGAAAGATGATTGTTTTGGTATGTGGAATTCTAGTAACCATGGCTAAACCTCAACAAGCAGGTCAATATACCCACTGAGGATATTATATCATGTTTCTCCTACTCAATGCAAATAACTAAATACGGTCTATTGAAAGATGATGGAGAAAAGCTTCACTCTCAAATACCATGAAAGACAGTAGAAGAGAAATCAATAATTGAATGCCAAACCCTGCTGCAAAACGGGAGTCTTGTGCTGAGTACGACCTTTATTTAATTGACAATAAGCTATGATCTAAATATGAATCAACCACTAATTTTCTTTTTTTTTCATTATTAATCAAAGTTTTTGGTACTTACTTGTTAGGGCGTCGCATTAAAACGTAATATATTGGATCTTCTAAAGATTCTCCAATTGACAATTTCAGCAATTGCAAAACAATGTAACAACATGTTGTAATGCTGTAAAAAAAACAAGCAACTTCACATCAAATCTATAACAAAGATCTAGATTTCACTATACATGGTGGCAACTCATTAACATATCTAAATAAAAATTATAAAACTACAGTGTAATCAATTCCTCAAAACATATATTCAGCTGACAGTCAAATAGTTTTTTAACCTGCAAGAAAAACTAGAAGAAAAAATGCACGTAGGAACTTTAACTGTAAAGTATTTGGATAAAATAACAAAGATTTATTAATGCATGTTTAATAGTGAAAATGAAAATGTAATGTCAAATCAATTCAAATTAAAGATAAAAGATTTCTATATTAGCACCATATCAGAACATTTAGCACCATATTAGAACATTTACTAGGGGAAAAAAGGATAGAACATAACATAAAATTGAAACTAATTTCTAATAATTGGAACAAATGGATGACTGAAAAATGCTGAAACAGAAGTGAGCATTTACCTCATCTTGGGGTGTGTTTCTGATTTGGGAAATGAAACGCTGCTTCTTCCTATGAATTTGTTGGACCTATTTAGTCAGTCATAGATCCTTTTGTAAATTTTTTATGTTTTAAATGTAATTTGAAGAACTTATATATGAGGAATCTAGTTGGACAAAACTGGTGTAGTTGGTCAACTTAAGTAAATTTTGTTCCAGTGTCTTTAATCCAGTTTAGTCCCCTAGAGTCTTGCAGACAGATATAAAGACCTGTACTTAATTCTAAACATATAGATAGTATTCATGTACATTCTAGAATAGTCTATTAGAGGAGGTGGGAGTAGTATCTACAATACTCTTAATCCTTTGGGTTTTGGGATATTCTTTGTAAACCTATAGAAGGGGAGGGCCTCATTTGCCCAACCCATCCAAGGAAATCCAAAAGTAATACAAGATCTCTTGCATTCACTTAATGGAGTAAACTGATCCAGTTGGTCCTTATATGATTGCAAATTTTAACATTGCAAAAGTCTAAACTTTTGAATTTACAAAGGTCTAGTTCATGCCCATGCATTATAATCAATAATTTTACATCAGCAATTCAATTACCATGTTTCCATGGACTGCTCACAAGGCCAACAAACAGGCGGTGTTCCTTGCATACACTTGGAAAATAGAAATTGTTTGGACCTAACTTAATCTGTCCCTAGACATGTCTAAGAAAATTTGAACCTCCTATAGGAATGCAGTATCATCTTATCAAAACCAATAGTATTACTCTCATTAAAAAATTACCTAAGCACTGGCACAATAACCAGGCTACCCAGCAAAACAAGCACCTAATTAGACCTTTTCAATAACCAGGCTACCCTCTTGAAAGCCAGCAAAACAAGCACCTCATTGGACCTTTTCCAAGGAATCCTTCAACCAGAATAACAGTTTAAGTGTTGATTGAAAATCACATTCACATGTTTTGTAGTTCATCAAAAACCACCTTGCTCAGCTAGTGAAAAGTTGACTGATATGTATCTCGGGGTCGGACACATCAAATCTCTAAATAAAGGATACGTGGACTTGGCTAAAATTTATCCAAAAATTAGATATGGGTATGTGGATACAACAAAAAGTATTAAAAACGTTAACAGGTGTCTCTTCCTATTATGATTTTTTTTTTCCTCCTTTATCCTGTATTTTTTTTGGGTGCTGAATCTGATTTTTTTTGTTATATTACTGTGGAATTTTGGTTTGGACTATGTGAAACTGGTTGGATTAGAGTTTGGTAATATGAAGAACTCCAAAAGCAAACCCAATATATATTTTCATTATAGAATTATTGAGGCCCAAACACAGTGATAAAGTGTGTGTGTCTTCTCTAAAATAAAATCAAATACTTTGGGCTTAATGATCTTTGCCATCTGCCCCATGTGACTGCAGCAGCCTACTAAATGGATTGATTAAAAAAAAAAAAGAAGCAACAATGGCTTCTTCTTCAATCGATTTACTTGACTGATTATTGACAATAATCAGTCTTTACCATTATCTCAATTCCACCAACAAATATCGATTTACTTAAAGCATAGAGAAGCATAGAGAGAAAGAGAGAGAGAGGGAGAGAGGTACCGGAGAGCTCCCATGGGGGTTCGAAGCAGAGAGAGAAAGAGAAGACAGCGGTGTCAATGTAGAATTTGAAGAACCTGATGATGATGAAGGTGGCTGTGGTGGTGGAAACCCTAGCCTTCAGTGACCCAATCAAAGCACAATGTCGCGATTCACAATCGGAAACCCTACCTTGCGAGTGGGAGGATTGCGACTTGAAGACACTGAGAGAGAATGGGGGAGAGGCAGAAATCGAGGCCAGCGTCGGGAGCGAGCGCAAGAAGGAGGGTAGGAAAGAAGAACAGAGAGGGAGAGAGACAGAGAGGGAATGGGAGGAGACGAGTTAAACCAAATTACCCCAATCTGGGTTCGATTGATGCAAGAGTGTGTGAAGTAGAAAATTACCCCAATTTAGAATTTTTTTTCTGAAATTCAATTCCCGCCCCAGGTTTCAAATTTCCCCCAAAACTTTTGGCGACCAAACTGTCAAATTAGTCTCAAAAATAGGTTCTTTCGCCGACAAATTTTTTTAGTCGCCAAATCTCCATCAACGGCGACTAAAATATTAGTCGCTAAAAGTACTAATTTGGCGACTAATTTTTTTGGTTGCTGAAAATAAGTTTTTCGCGACCAAATTTTTGGTCGCCAAAAAATATGTGACCTTCCGTGACCAAATTTTTAGTTGGTCGGCAAAAGTATACCACTTTCTGCGATCAACATATTTTTTGGTCGCCAAAATATAACCTTCTGCGACCAATAAAATTTGGTCGCCAAAATTAATGATCATTCGCGACTAATTAATATTTGGTCGCCAAACGTCATTTTTTTGCGACCAAAATTTTTTTAGTCAGTAAAAGTAGTCGCAAAATGTGTAAATTCTTGTAGTGTCCAATGCCACTATTTATTTTTCGTATTTGGATTTTGGATGTGGTGGGCCCTTTCCCATTTTGATTTCTATACACTTCTGTAAAATTATTGATTTTTTGTTTTAATTTTATGGGAATTTGATTTTTAAGGGAAATTACAAACCAACAAAAACGAAAACAAAACTATTGGATTTGACTCTGCTAACAAATAATACCTTTGCGTGTTTGTGTGTGTGTGTTTTAAATTTTTTTTAATTTAAGTATTGATAGAATCGCAACTGTCCATCCATCTCTACTTAGAGGCATTACAAAGAATGATAATTTTGTCAATTTACCAATCCATCTTCCATTTCCTTTTTTTCTCAAACACCACCACATTTCACTACCATAACAACCACCACTATCACCAGCCATAACCATGCTCTACTCCTAGTCCCTTCATCCACCATTGCTACCACCCAACCCACTTCCTCCACCATTTTCACCATGTCCCACCACTACATGCTTCCTCCACCATTGTCACAAATCCCCACTCCTTATGCCTTCATTGTCACCCTGTAAATAGTAATTTAAAGTAAAAAAACAAATAAATGATTTCCCCAATCAATAACCTTTTCTGCCTGCATGATCGGCTCATAATAGTTCGAATGCACCTCCATGAAATTTTGCTGATCGCGAAACACTTATTGACAATGTCCTTGCTCTTTATGGGACATATTGTTAGGAATTGAAACAATTTAGAAGACCAAAAGTATAATTTGACTAACTTACAAAAAAAAAATTTAAAATTGTGGAATGGTAGCTTCTTAATATTGTTTTCACACAATTAATTTGTGCTTGATTTCACAAGTACTTCATGATCAACAGCACCAATTAGTTAAATTTCATAGCTTTGTCATATATTAATGAAGTTGATAACTTCAAATCATACAAATTAAGTAGCATACAAAGAGGACTGCATTTCCAATCGCAATCCTATATGTATTAAAAGCTGATACAAAATAACACACTGGCTAGCTAGATACATCATACATATATGTAGTTAGATACATACATGTAATCTTATTATAATAGATATTTCAATAATATGTAGCATACAGGTGATGGATTTATTATCAATCTTCCTAAAATTAGGCTGCAGATGGTGCAGAAATGTAGTCATGAGCAACACCAGCATCTTCCAGCAACTGCAGAATTAAAAGTGGCTCTTCAGATCCATCCTCTGAGCTGTTCTTGTAATCCAGCAACTCATCTGTGTATATCTCCCACCATTTCTCTACAAGCTTTTTTATGTCATCTCTCTGCATGTTCTCTTCCTGTCCAGTGTACCTCCATGGCTTTGATCCCTGTAATTATATATATAATACAATATTTCAACAAAAAACAAACAGACATGTATTAACAGTGAGTAAGTTACACTCTAATAAGGAGCTAGCTTGAATAGTAAGTCGCCAGATAAACAACAAAGAGGCCTTAGCTTCCAATCCCTACGTAACCCAATATGTGAGACTAATGCGATACACATCCGTAATTCTATCATTGTCTCACCGAAAATTGGTTCAAAATGTTCCTCGTTATCAAAAAAATAGTGAGCAAGTTACATATTAGAATGGTACTGTTACAATACACACCTTTTTTTGAGAGCATATCATGTATACCTACTATTTTGGATATAACTAACAATAGTTTAGCACATAATTTAAGATCACTTCGGGGCAAAATCAAAACTACCAATTTAAGGTATAATTTATGTCACTTTAGAATATGATCAAAGAATGCTTTAAATCATAATTAAAGTTTATCCACTTTGACTTGACATTAGTGGACCCTCAAGTCATAAGTTACACCACATATGACATGTATTGTACGAAAACACTCGGCCATGTATTACATTCAAACTTAAAATTTGTCGAAAGCAAAGATTGTAACCCGTGTAGATTATTCAATAGTAATAGAGTTCGTCTTCAAATGAACTATAAATTCGAAAGTCTTAAATTTGACTCTTTGGTATTGCATCCACTTAAAAAATGTGGTTTGCAAGAAAGTGATATAGTATCCAAAATTTACTTTGCAGTGATGGTCCAACATGGTCCTACCTAGGATCTTCATCATCCAAAATAAAAAATAAAAAGTAAAGATTGTATCAAACAATTTTGTTACTAGCCAAGATATTCTTTCGTGTCTTGGATCGTCTGTCTTCATTTTTTGTTGTAGCTCTATGTTCCAAACATCATATGTTCAGATAATGAGAAAAGATGATCTCAATCTCATTAATATGATATAAATTTTGGTGTTGTACTCACCGCAGCACAATAGTGAACAACCTTCGCTTTGTCAAGGTCTATATTCTCAGAGTGTCGCCACAACAATGCCAAAACAAGGTTGTAAGTTGGAGGGATAGGGCGGTAGGTATCCCTAAAGTACATGTTCAAGAAGTCCTGCCAAAAAAAAAAAAAAGTTGTGTAATTAATACTTCTTAGTACAAGCTTCAATATGTCACCAACTCAATATCAGGTTTTAAAATACATAATGTTTTCTCTATATCAGCCGATATATGACTGTATTATCAATACTAGTATGTATCCTAATACCATTATTTAAACAGTGCTCACCTCAAGACTTGAGGATGCCATGAAGTTTTAGCTATTACCTGTTCTGCAAATGAAGTAGGAAGCGTGACCTTGAGGGTCTCCAAGAGGTCATTGTAAGTTGAGAGTTTAGGCTCGAAGATGAACATGCCGGCATTGAAGTACAATGGCGGTGGTGCACCCATCTCCGCTGGCCACTGCACCTTTTCTGGGCATTGTTGACAGTAACCTATCTTGAATTGAGGTGTATCGCTCCAAGTTTTTTCGCAGAAACAGTCCATAACAGCATAGAAGTACCCATCAGGATAGTCAAAGAGGTGATCAATGTTGCCAAATACTTGTATATCTCCATCTAAATATATCATCTTGCTATACTCCACAAACTACAATAACAATTAATCAATACACATAAGACTCATTCTTTTGTGTCTAATAATAAGAAAATTTAGTAAAAAAAATTCATTTATGTGTAATGTTGTAATTCAACTCAATCGCGTCCAACTACTTGGAATCAGCCATATGTATTATGTCCTGTCATTCTGCTTGATCAAGAGCCATATTTAAAAATTATTAGACATTCATAATTTTGTAAATTATAACCAAATTAAAGAAGGAAAAAAAAAAAAAACAAGAGAGGATTAAAGCCAAAAAAAGAAAAGAAAATGAGAAACATGTAATAAAAAAAAAAACATGTATGCATGGACAATATATGTAGATTTAGTGTTAGCAAACATGAAGCAAATTAACATGATGTGCAAGAATGGATATTGATGTGTACCTCCCAAATACGAAGTTTAGAATAGTTAATGACATAATATGCCATTGCAAATTGAGTTTGATTCTCCGGTGGATACACTGGCTCAATCTCCCGAATGATACATCCCTGGGATCGAAGGATCTCTCGATGCTCATCCGGAACATCAGGCAAAATTGCCACCACAAGTGGGTATGGAGTCTTTGTCTTCCTTAAACCCTTGGCCAAACCCACAACTCCTTTCACATAGTCTCCATTGCCGGCCAAGAAGGTGACATAAGCCCTCTTTGGCAAGTTCTTGATTTCTTGATCCAATGTTTCCTTCATAGGCATCTTGAAACAGATGGAAGATGAAGAGATTTAACTATATAGAACAATTAATGAACACAAAGAAACTAAGGCCTTGAAGAAGATGAATGGTGCATGGACCCTTTATATAGCCCATTACTTGGGGGGAATAATCTACAAATATATATAAATTGATTACAAAATCGAATATAGATTGAAGACAAGATTTTTTAGAAGTAGAATCTTATATATTTATGTGTATTTTATACACAAAATGCATTTTGTATATATATTATTTTCATATCTGTAAATTTTTTTAAAAGTTTTTGAATGCTATGACACGTGGCTTCTTTTGGCAACACCTTTGATTTTATATATTCAATCATCGCATAGCTAAAGTTTTGGACACGTATTTGACTCCTTGGAATGTTGTGAATTATTTGTGTATACAATGAATACACATATGTAAGAAAGTTACAATTGTGATTTTTTGTGTGTGTGTGTGTGTGTGTGTGTTTTCTGTTTTTTTGATCAGATACATACAATTGTGATTGACGATTACCTGTGAAGTTTTGTTGTTTTCCTTTGCAAGGCCACTTGTATGGATTGCAATTCTTACTCTATTTACTATTTAGACCCGTCATATTATGCGTGTATAATAAAATTCACTATGAAGAAGGGTTATTATTTGGTTGTGTTAGATTTAATAGCTCTATTAATACGAATAGTAAAGTTTATCATCTATTTCATACAATGAATTATTATTGAATAGTGATATCTATATGGATGATAATGCAGTATCACTTATTAAATTAAATTTTTACTTGATAACTAGCTAAAGCCATATTTATATATATATATATATATATATTAAAATTAAAATAAAAAACGAGAATAGAAAAAAATGCGGGGTTACTTTTTTTTAGGAATTTCATATTTAAAATTCTAAAGCTACATGAAAAGGGGATTTATTTTTGTGGCTTTGAGAAGACAATGTTCCATACGATTTGAACACTGTAGCGTAGGCTAAGCTACTATGAAGAGATACATGTCGTTTACTACAGCACATACCAAAAAATAAAAATAAAAAATAAAAGTATAATGATTCACTATGCTTGGTTACCACTTTTTAAAAACACTTTTCAGAAAATTCTACTTTCTTATTTTTCGTATTTTTTTGTTTTTATTGAATTTTTTTAATATTTTGAGCAATTTTTTTAATTTTTAGACATACCTAACATAAATATATCTAAAAAGTAAAAAAAAATTGAAAAAAATCTTTTAAAAATTCACTAAATACCAAAAATACAAAAAAAAAAAGAGAAGAGAATTCAGTATATTTTTTGTATTTTTATGTATTTATTAATTTTTAAAAATATTTTTTCACAAATTTTTTACTTTTTAGATACATCTAAGTAAGGTGCATCTAAAAAAGTAAAAAAAATATTTAAAATTTTAAAAATATTCACTAAAAACAAAAAAATACGAAAATCAAAAAATTCAGTTCTCAAAAAACTTAATTCAAAAAATTCAAACTAAGCACACTGAATGGTAAAGAAAAAAATGAAGGTATACATACAATATTGATTTGAGTAAACATTTAAATTGCTTTTAAGATATTATCAAAATTAGAAATGTAATATGTCATCTTATAAGTATATCTTATCAAACAAAATTTTGAGTCTGATAAATGTTAGAGGCACTGCCAATCATGATATGAAAGTATTGCTCACTATAACTTAACTGAACAATTAGCTTCACAAGTTTGTCTATATGAAAGTATTGTTCGCTATAACTTAATTGAACAACTAACTTTACAAGTTCGTTCATTTAGAGTCTAACTCAAAAGTCATCTTAAATTTAAAAGTGTTGTACCCAATCTTATAAATTCATTTTAAACAGTGGAATTTTTTATTTTTTCATTTTCTTTGATGCAAATCCTTTTTTTGTGTTTGATACAAATTTTTTCTTTTTTGTCCGACTTGTACTAAAAAAGAGTTGATCAAAAATGTAATTATTTCAAGTCTATCCAACTAAAATAATATTTGTTTTAAAAATTATTTGCAACGGATATGAGATGTCAACACATATACTAATAACAATGATAGTGGTGGTGGTGATCATGCGAAAGGAAAGCATGTCATTTTCATATTTTTATCCTTTATTCCTTGATTCCAATGAATTGTTTTAGACAAGGGGATATCCATTGAATTTGTGAGACAAGTGTACATAATGGTCATACTTGGAATGTGATAAATTATCCTTTTGAATAGGTGGAAGTTGTATAATGGAAGAAGAGGATTACTATTGAATAGGACTGTTATAACTTATAGGGAAAATGAACATGAACAGTGTATGATTGAGAGATTGACACTCATATGATATCCCCAAAAGATAAGAGTTTTCAAACAACTGGAACTTCATAAGCATGAGGAAAAAGATATGCACAGAAATTATCGTTAGTGTTTGGCTCATTACAGTTTGTTTGAGATCAATTTGTTATGTAAATAAGTGAAATTTAGACACATTTCAAAATGAGTCAAATTTCAAGTTTAACTTGAACAACCTACTATTTAACTTGATAAATTTATGTATTTGAAAAAGGGAAATTTGGCTATAAACCCCTTTTACCTTCCTTTCATTGTTAAAAGGACTAAGAAAAAAATTATACTTTCTAAACCCCCTCATAATTATGAAGTCTTGCATAAATGACAAATTTATTATTTAAATATTTTATATGACTATTATACCCACTCTCTTCTCCACTCTCTTCCTTTCCACAGATGGCCTCTTCAAGAAGACTGGCGAGCTCTGCAACTTGTGCGGCACCGAAGCTCCGTCATCACCTTCTCCAACGCCGGCAACACCTTCGCCTTTGGCAACCCCTCCATCGACTCCGTCCTCGACCGTTACCTCTCCATGACTTCATCATCCTCTAGAGCCTCCGCAAGCTTCTCTTCCCTCTTTCGATATAGGGTTTCAACTCAAATCTGTGCACCATGAACGATTCCGATCTCTAATCTCCCGAGATATATATATATCTATATATATGTGTGTGTTTGTGTGTTTTGAGATTTGAATTCAAATATATGTGTTTTGAGATTTGAATTCGAATATATATATATATCTACATATTCCGATTTGTAATATATATATATATCTATATATATGTGTGTGTTTGTGTGTTTTGAGATTTGAATTCGAATATATAGATTTTTGAAAGCTCAAAGTTTTAAAAATCTGAAAAATCTGAAGAACCGGGGTATGAAAAATTGAGATTTCTCTAAAATTTTCAGATTATAAGCCTGATTCAAGGATTATAGGCATGATTCAATGTTTTTCAAAGTAAACATCGATTGATTCAAGGATTATAGGCCTGATTCAAAGCTCAAAGCTCAAAGTTGCATCGATTTTTCAGAGTAAACATCAAATTTCATTTGATAGAACCAGAGTAAAATTTTACTCTGGTTCTATTGCTCTATTTTTTTTATTGGACAGAACCAGAGTAAAATTTTACTTTTAGCTTCAGAGTCTGATTAAGGCCAAAATATACGTCATTGAGGCCGTTAATTAGAATCTCTTAACTTCACTTGCTGGTCAAACTGTATATTTTATGTGTGTTGAGTGTCAATCAGGTTGTACATCGTCGAAGCATAAAATGAGCAAAAAGACAGAATTTGGGCAGAGTTGACTTTTCCGCACGTGCGTTGACTTTTTCTGCACGTGCGTTGACTTTCTCGCACGTGTGTTGACTTTTTCTGGGAAAGTCAAACCGACGTTTTAAACCTGTTTGGACGATATTGGAAGGATAAAAAGGCAAGTAAAAGGCTAGATTAGGGTTCAGAAGTTGTTTTGACCTAAAGGGGAGGCTAGGGTTTGGAAAAGAAGAGAAATAAAAGCTCCAAGATGTCTCCCATGGTGGTTCCTTCTCCTTCTACCTCCTTCCACTCCTCCATGAGTGGTTAGTCTTCTTTTTCTAGGGTTTTGATAAAACCCTAGCCATGTAATTATTTAATTTTCTTTTTGATTTTTAATTATGTAAAGGTTTGAACATTTGTATGATGATTTAGAAGTTTTTTTTTTATATAATTTTCATTATTCTTTCGAATATTTGACTTTCTGTGATTGTTAAATGTTATCCATCCAATTGTTTTCTTTTCCTTCACATTCAAGGTATGGGACGAACCATACTACGAGGAACGAGTCGTATCACTACCTTAGTTTAGAGTGAACGGTTCGTATTACTTGAGATGGTTCGTGCTCGTATATTGAATGTGATGATCTTCTTGTTAAATGCTTTGAGCTTGTAGTTGCGATGCATTAATCCGTTCAAACCATAGCATAATTGATTTCAATTGGAAACCCTAATTATGTGGTTAGTGGTGAATTCTCTACCCTAGGATTTTTCCCCAATTCAGTAAACCCAATTTCATTTATTATTGATAATTTAATTCCTTAGTTTAATTTATTCGTTATTAAATTAGGTTATAAACAACCAATCTTTTTATCAAAATTAATTTAGGAATTTGACAATTAAATTAGTTTAATTTCACAATAGTCCCTGTGGATCGATACCTGGACTTGCCATTATTCTGATCCCATATCCAAAAACCACCTCTCTCACCTGATGAACACCTCCCTTAACCGAACCAGCCGGCATTGAAAAACCACTTTCATGGCCTAAAAGCTCCCATGATTAAACACCTCCCATGGCCGAAAAAACACCACCCATGGCCGACCCCAATGACCCACGCCTCATGCAACCTCGCAATGATCGAATTGATGTAAATTATGGGTAGACAAAATTTTAAAAAAAGTTAAATATGCAATAGCAATAGAATGGTAGCCTATATCGGGTCCAATGGAAATAAATGGACAGAAAAAGAGGACGACGAAATCAGAATAACTCAAGAACTCATTCTTGATTAGAAAAAGCTGTGTAACTATTTTAAGTAGTATTTGAAAATGAAGTCGAAGATACAGATTTAAACTTGCGTGATGTGAATCACAATCAAAATAAATTTGTTACACATTTTATTTTCGGAATATTTTTTCTGAATTTATAATATTATTGTTCTTAATTTTGATTTTTTTAAAAATGCATGCATGCTTGTTAAAAAGCAATAATAGTATAAAAACATTTACAAGAAGGTGGTTGAGATGTTTTGCATTGCAGGCAAACCATCGTTTCTCAACCATGGTACAAAGGCACATTTATGGATATTCAACCGGGCTTGAGATCCGACCTCTGAATGAAGGAAGAGCCGTTGAAGCTGCCTCCAATATTCTTGGGGAATTGCTTGTGTTCTCGGTCAGTCTCTCTCACCCAACAGCACCATACATAACCCCATATTATTTCCCACACAATAATTCCTTCTATTAATTTGTTCCATCACCAAACCTAAAAATTATATATATATAAACTTTAAGATTTGCACTGACCAAAACCAGCTATTAAGTTGACACGTAGGTTGCAGGACTGGCTTTGATATGAGGTGCAAAGAAACTCCAGAGCTGAAGCTAGGAAGGAGGAACTCCAGAGGCAAGAACTCGAGGTAACCACTTACATGAAATTTAGTTACACTTTCAATTATTAATAATAATTATTACCCTTCTTTTAATTTTTTAATTTTTTATAAAAGTTTGTTGGGGTTTTTGGCTGGCTGTGTATAGGCCCTGAAGAAAAGAAATGAGGATTTAACGAAAGAGGTGGGATGTTTGAAGCTCAATCTGGAAGAAGTGGAGCGCCTTGCCAAGGGAAGAAGTTTCCTCGACATGCTTAGAAGTTTCGGATTTCCCACCCAAACCCAGCAACACTAACAAAGACCCCACTCCTAATTTGGTTTTTCTATGCCCACAAAGAAATTAGTGAACCTTTTAGTTTTGGAACTTGTAGATTGATGATTTTGATTCCTTCCCAATCCCAACCCAAATCAAAAGAATTTTTGACTGGCAGAAAGGACCTAATAGTCATCTATCACTCACCACTCACCGTGTTCAGTTAATATAGGGCAAGGATTATGGAGCAGTAAAATTTCACAGGCACGATAGTTAACTGCTTCATGAAACAACAAAAGAAGAGACTGAGAATTTACAGATTGCCAATTAAAATTTTAAAAGCTCATTTCACAAAAATCCCACTCAGTTTCCTATACAAGATGATCATACTTATTGTACGGGGAGGATTGGCAAATGGAGCCTCCAGTCTCCGATCCAAATAACAAAAATGAAAAAAAGGCGGGTTAAAGTTTGTTTCATGATTCTACCTGTGAACTATATCAGTTTGGGCTCATGGATTTGTCTATATTCAATCAAGTTCCAGAACAACTTTACCAGGAATGCGCCTTTTATCTTTGGCTTCATGAGCCTCCCTCACATGTGTAATGGGAAATGTCTTCTCCACAGGAATTTTCAACTTCCCGACCTCAGAGAGCCGACGAATCTGAGCCAAACCTTCAGCATCAGCCCTCATATAAGTCCACCAATATTCTGCACCATTAAGTAAAAGAAATATATTGGTCCAATTGACAACTAGAGGAAATATCGTTGCCTATAGAGAGGAAGTCTTGGACAGCTAAAGGAATTGTAAAAGCATTTCCACGCATACACAGCAGGAAAATAACTAAAATGGAACAAATTACAGGAGACGATCAGGAACATTTGTTTCACTTTCTGGAACTCAAAACAGAGAAAAACAAACAAAAACAATCCTATACAGACAACAAAGTTTCATAGCCAAGTGATACAGGAGAACAAGAAGCTGCATCATAAAACAGAGTCATCCAGGTTGGGTCAAATCACATTGTGAATTGATCTTGTTAGGTTTGGAGAATGGAGTGCCATGAAACACCAAATTTTGACAAGAGTCGTAATTGTAAGAGCTTACTCATAGGAAAAAAAATTTGACATGTTACTCATACAAGAGTTTTTTTTTTCCTTTTGGGGGTAATCCAAATTACAGGAACCTTAAGACAGAAAAAGGGTATTTTCAACCTGCTAGTAGAAATTCGCATGAAAGTAAAAAAAGTCGCTGGCTTCTGGCACTAACAGCAAACTGTGAAAATTTTGATCAAAACAAACATCCACCATCTCAAGTTTCAGGTTTTCAGCTTCAAGTTTCTCCTTCCAATGAATCTTAGGGTCACAACCTCACAATTTAGAACAACGGTCACTAACATCCAATTTCCACCAAATAACCTGATCAAATTACGAAGCTATAAAGAGGTTTTCCTGTACCTATTCCGTGAGAATATCGGTATTGAATCTGTTTCTTCAGCAAAATAGCAGAAGCAATAGGGAGCCCTACAGCCAGCCCATATCTGTCAGTCAGTGATGCCGCCTCCCCCTACAGGAAAAGACAGCCAAAATTATTGAAATGTCAATGTGCATCTGAAGATTCCATATTAGTGAAAAAAGCAAGTAAAGTAGTTAAAGTTTCCATCTCTCACTTGCAACGTCATATAGTGTCCACCTCTCCTCAAAAGATTGATGCCTGTCCTTTCTGTCTCCAGTACACCAATTGTGTCCAAAACAGCATCAAATTGCCCTTTTAGTGCTGATTCAATGTCCTATAAATAAAAAATTAAAAAAAAAATGGTTAACTCTATGGTGGGGAATTTAAATATTATACCCAACCCAAAGATTAGAATGGAAAACAGGCACGCTATACAATCATCAAAATCTCCAACAACTGGCAATGGAACAAACGAGATGCGCTCTTTATTGATCATCACCTGAGTAGTATAGTCCACAGCCTGCATGAAATTTAGTTACACTTTCAATTATTAATAATAATTATTACCCTTAAATAAAAAAACAACTTTTGAAAATCTTGGCTGCAACAGGTTAGTTTTTCTGTATATGATGGGTGTTATTATGAGTTACACTGGGCTATTATAGTGGATAGTTAACTAATATGGAGATTGCACTTTACACCGAGGGTACTCATGACTTGTCTACTAGCATGCACAAGTATAGTGAACTTTACTTTTGTATTAACTGAATTGTGGTTTTGACTCAATAGGTTCCTTCACGCTTGTCCACTGTGTCTTTAATGACTCATGATGTCTAAATATCACACTATAGTGGCACATAAGTTGATTGTTAGGTGGAGTAGTGTAGTCATTTGTTGTTGAGTATATATGAATATGTTAATGTTTGTGGGTATCATTTCTGGAAACCCTCATGAGACTTTACTCGTCCACTTGGAGTAACTTTGTAGTTTAAAGGCTTCTTGCATATGCTAAATGCAACCATTTTCCCACGAAAGAGGAAATAGATAGATTTTGTTTAATTTTATTTTATTTTACTTGCTTGAGGACTAACAAGTAGTAAGTTGGGGGATGTGATTAAGGCCGAAATGTACGTCATTGAGGCCGTTAATTAGAATCTTTTAACTTCACTTGTTGGTCAAACTGTATATTTTATGTGTGTTGAGTGTCAATTAGGTTGTACATCGTCGGAGCATAAAATGAGCAAAAAGACAGAATTTGGGCAGAGTTGACTTTCCCGCACGTGTGTTGACTTTTTCCGCACGTGCGTTGACTTTCCCGCACGTACGTTGACTTTTTCTGGGAAAGTCAAACCGACGTTTTAAACCTGTTTGGACGAGATTGGAAGGATAAAAAGGCAAGTAAAAGGCTGGATTAGAGTTCGAAAGTTGTTTTGACCTAAAGGGAGAGGTTAGGGTTTGGAAAAGAAGAGAAACAAAAGCTCCAAGATGTCTCCCATGGTGGTTCCTTCTCCTTCCACTCCTCCATGAGTGGCTAGTCTTCTTTTTCTAGGGTTTTGATGAAACCCTAGCCATGTAATTATTTAGTTTTCTTTTTTATTTTTAATTATGTAAAGGTTTGAACATTTGTATTGTGATTTAGAAGTTTGTTTTATATAATTTTCATTATTCTTTCGAATATTTGACTTTCTGTGATTGTTAAATGTTATCTATACAATTATTTTTTTTTCCTTCACATTCAAGGTATGGGACGAACCATACTACGAGGAACGAGTCGTATCACTACCTTAGTTTAGAGTGAACGGTTCGTATTACTTGAGATGGTTCGTGCTCGTATATTGAATGTGATGATCTTCTTGTTAAATTCTTTGAGCTTGTAGTTGCGAAGCATTAATTCGTTCAACCCATAGCATAATTGATTTCAATTGGAAACCCTAATTATGTGGTTAGTGGTGAATTCTCTACCCTAGGATTTTTCCCCAATTTAGTAAATCTAATTTCATTTATTATTGATAATTTACGTGCACACGTGCACGTATACCAAGAACCGAACCTAAAACATAAAATGTCACTCTACCAAAGCATGGCAAGGGATCAAAACACTTCATACTTCCAGATTGATACACACTTTGTATCCACTGATGAGCTGAGGCAAGCTAGAATTTAGTTTAATTTATTCGTTATTAAATTAGGTTATAAACAACCAATCTTTTTATCAAAATTAATTTAGGAATTTAACAATTAAATTAGTTTAATTTCACAATAGTCCCTGTGGATCGATACCTGGACTTGCCATTATTCTGATTGAATTTGGTATAGTTTAGTATTTAATTTTGGTGTGTTCAACGACCCACCAGTCTTACAGTTTACTTATTTTTTAGAGTAAAATTTTACTTTTATACAGAGTAAAATTTTACTTTTAGTTTCAGAGTGTAAAATTTTACTCTCATTCATAGTAAAATTTTACTTTTGTACAAAGTAAAATTTTACTTTCATATAGAGTAAAATTTTACTCTGAAATACATAGTGAAAATGTCTTAATAGGAGAACTAATAGATATGAGAGTAATATAGTAAAAGAAACAAGTTTTAAAATATCAGGAGATTTTGAAAGTACTTATATAATTCTTATCCTTTTGAAAGAGAAATTAGATAGTGAGGGAGTTATGACCAAATCCCCCTTTGAAAAACCTAAAGATTCAAATTTAACTTAATTAAAACTCATTTGTGATCGGTTCAAAATGTAAATAAATCAAATTTAAATATATTTTAAAACTCGTTAAATTATTTCAAGATTGTATCACTTAACTCGATTGGACTCATTTTAGGTGTCAATCAAAGGAATATCACTGTGCTCGTAGATTGCAAACCAAGAGGGATGCATAACCCTCTCACCCCCTTCTAGTTGTTTGGGCCAAGTTCCAACCCATCTCGTGGGCTGAAAACTTTACAGCCCATAATATAAGAAAAAATTTAAGAAAAGGTTTGACAGGCCAACCCAATGCTGAGACACCTGTCATTTTAAAATGGGCCATTCCTAGCTAGAAATAGATTGACATCTGGATTGAGCCCATATATCTTGTCAATATTGAGCTTACTAGGCCTGGCCCACAAATACTTGGAGCAAGTGGGCCCATCTCTCTCTCTCTCTCTCTCTCTCTCTTCATTGCATTCCATCCACCTTATCTAACCAATCAATGGACTCTCTGGGTGGGGTGGGGTGTGGTGTGGTGTGGCGTTGAGTTGAGTTTAGAGAAGAAGAAAGAAGAATGGCGTCTCTGGCACAGCAAATTGGTGGACTGAGATGCCCACCACTTTCCACAAGTCGAGTGAGCAACAACTCGACGAGACAAAACCAGAAGAAACCCAATTCGTTGAGAGTGGTATCGGCAGTGACCATATCGAATGCACAGACCAAAGAGAGAGAGAAGCTCAAGGACATGTTCGAGGAAGCCTACGAGAGGTGCCGTACGGCTCCAATGTCCGGCGTCCCCTTCACCATCGAGGACTTCCACTCTGCCCTCGACAAATACGACTTCAATTCCGAAATTGGCACCAAGGTTTTCTATCTTTCTGTCTATCTATCTATATATTTATATATGTATATGTATGTATTCCTATGTTTTTGCAATTATTTGTGTAAAATCGCATATATTAGTTGATGGGTTTGAGCTTAAATCCTTGGAATTACGTGGAAATGGTGTGGATTGGCTTTAGTTATTATGAGCTTCAATCAGGGTTTGTTTGTGAATTATGTGAAATTTGCAACTGTGTATGTGCTATTCAGTTGGCAAGTCTTTACTTTTCTTGTCTGTGGGTTTATTTGATGCCTTTATTAACTTCCATTTTTGTTGAATTCTGGAGTTTTTTATTTATTTTTATGCTTAGCATCAAATTTCATTTGAAAATTTAATGAACTTTGTTTGGTAAACTATTTTCAGAATTTTTTTTTTTTGACAAAAATTTATGAAAAAATCCACTTTTTAGGAAACATCAAAAGATTATTTTTGAATTTTTGACACAACAAAATGACAATAATATGACAAGAATGGGCATTTTTGGATTTTTCATTGCTTTTGTTTCTGAAAACACAAAAAACTAAAATAAAACACTGCCAAACTAGTTAAATAGTTTTACAAGTACAAATGAATGCATTGTGTAAGTTAACCTTTTGCAGTTGGGTGCTTCAGTTCCTGGAAGGTTAGCTAAAATGCTTAGGAATTTAAATCTATGTGCAAGACATATTAACTGAGAGCATGGTCCAATTTGTTTGTTCCTTTTTCCATCGGATACAAATTTTTTCATGTTTAGTTTTTCTTTTTCTTTTTCTTTTTTTTTTGGGATAAATATTCGTGTTTAGTTTTTCTTGAGTAAGAGTAGTTTAATCATTCATGTACTTTCTTTTTAGGTAAAAGGAATGGTATTCAAAACAGATGCTTACGGAGCACTAGTTGACATGACTGCGAAATCTTCAGCATTCTTACCTGTCAGAGAGGCATCCATTCACAATATAAAGCATGTGGAAGAGGCAGGGATAGTTCCTGGTTTGCAAGAGGAGTTTGTAATCATAGGTGAAAATGAAGCCGATGATAGCTTGATATTGAGCTTACGGTCAATCCAGTATGACCTTGCTTGGGAGCGATGTAGACAGCTTCAAGCTGAAGATGTTGTTGTCAAGGGTAAGGTGAGTATTTGCAATCCACAATTTTGTGTATATTGTCTTTTCCTTTCTGTTTCTACATAATATATACATCTATTAAGAATGCGCCGTCAGTTAAGTTGTGCAAGGTACGATACATACTGTAATGAGTCTCATCTTGATGGTCCTATAGTCCTATAAAGTCAAATCAATTGTTTTTGGTTTTGTCTTCGAGTGAAACTATCTGCTTCTAGGAATCTTTTGTTGTGATAATCGACCCGGTGCCAAATTCTGATTGTCTGTCTTGTGACTTTTAATATTCGTAGTTTGAAAAGTTTGCTGTCTGAATAACTGAACATGCATGCAGATTGTTGGTGCAAATAAAGGTGGAATTGTGGCAATGGTGGAGGGCCTTCGTGGGTTCGTTCCCTTCTCACAGATATCAACAGTTAGTTCTTCAACCTAGCTTCCACAATTCCAATCATAATTGTTTTTTATTTGAAAATTTGAAATCAATTCCCATGTAGTTTTTCTGCCACTGGAAGTGATAACCCTTTTGATATTTCCATTTCCTGGATATTATATGAAGCAATACAGAAATCATGAATTATGTCATCATCTGTTGACAAACGCAGTTGTCATGCTCTGCCATAATGTGTGGCATGACTGCAGGAGATTTGGAAACCCAGAATCTATAGAGCCAATTTTATGCTTATATAGGTGTTTGTTTGCGAAGACAATAAATTTCTTTTGTTCAATTAAGAATGTGGTTTCAGCCTCTAATAATTTTTGCAGTTTCCCTCATTACTCCCCCATCCCATATTATTTTGTTCACCATGGAAAATCTAGCTTTTTAAGGAAGCAAGTATTTATTTTGCTCAGAAACCCAACTAATGGTATAAAGTTCAAAAACCATCCCTTTATTCCACACTATTAAATGCATTCACACTCATTTCAAAAGAATAATATTGTAAAGCCTTATATTTGAGTGTCTTGACTTTTTAAAATAGACAACCATTTTGGGACATCTCAAACTGGAATCGTGGGCAAAAAAATTTGGGCTGGACTAAATATAATTTATACACCATTCAATCAAGGAAAGGCAGTGTTTACATGACCACATGAACCTAAAATTTAATGTACAAATGATCATCAGTGTTGTGATTGCAGTCATGAATTAGACAGACACCAGAGAGCTGCATTCCTCTTCTCCCTCTCTGATAGTACAAGATGAAACATTCATATATACACATATAGATATGTTTCAGTGATTAAGTTTGTGTTTCTATCCTACTACACACACGCGCTCACACACACACACATTTAAAGAGAAAAAAAACTAAACAAAATGAAAGAAAGTTTGTGTAGTTGTAGCTTGATGGAGAGGCATGGACTTTGTCTTTTTATGGTCAAGGCTATTGGGAAATTTTAATCAAATGATAAACATTTGTGCTCTCGAGCAATTCATTGGTGAATAGAGTACCAATGGTGCAATAGATAGATATCATAAACATAATGCATAATGCACAAATTAAATTGCTCTTCTTTCTTTTTTGAAAATTTTCTGATGTCAAGTATGTAAGGCCCCGTTTGTTTTCAGAGATAGAATGGAAGAGATTGATAGTGAAAGGATTAATAGTGAGAAATTGTTAAATTATTTTTATATAAAATAATAAAAAAATATAAAAATTAAACATTAGTATTTTAAAAAAAATTCCCAATATATAAAAAATAAAAAAAATAAAAAAATTTATAATCCCCTCACTATTTTTCTAATACCATCTCTACCTCCTCACTATGAATCCCCCTTCCAAGGGTATTAGTAATACCAAGGTATTAGTAGTCCCAAGGCTATCTTTCAAAATAAACAAGATATTAGTAATACCAAGGTATTAGTAGTTCCAACCCCCTTCCTATAACCCCAAACAAACGGGCCCTAAAGGTGTACTAATTTGTAATTGTCCGCACAAATTTGAAAATGAAACGTGTTGCTTTGACAAGTGTCCAACACAATGGAGGTTGTTAGTGTGAATGACCATGTTGAAATTTGATTTTTGTGTGTGTGTGTGTGTGTGTGTGTGTGTGTTGACAAATCTAAGTAGGTGACTGAATCACACAAATAATGTGACTGGGTTATTCAATTTTGTGATTATTCTAAAACACTTAGTATCATTTGTAATGCTTCTTTTCTTCTCCCCAGATAGTTTGGATAAGATTTTATTGAGTTGAGTTCTTCTCTTATTCTAACATGATTGCTTTTTCCCATTCAATTTCATTATCAATTAGTTATGCTCTTCTGAACATATCTTGAGTTCCCTAGTCATTGCTATGCTCTTCTGTTGAAATTAGAAATCAACTGCGGAAGACCTTCTTGATAAGGATCTTCCACTTAAGTTTGTGGAGGTGGATGAGGAACAGACTAGACTTGTCCTCAGCAACCGCAAAGCCATGGCTGACAGCCAGGCACAGCTAGGAATTGGTTCTGTTGTTGTTGGAACCGTTCAGAGCCTGAAACCATATGGCGCCTTCATTGACATCGGTGGAATCAATGGCCTTCTCCACGTTAGTCAGATCAGTCATGACCGTGTCTCTGATATCGCAACGGTACTTCAACCTGGTGACACTCTCAAGGTATGGATATACATTCCTTTAGTTCTTGGCTGAAAATATTTGGTGCTCTCCTAGAAGTTAATTTTTTTAGTACAAATTCTTGTGGCATAGGTCATGATACTGAGCCATGACCGGGCGAGAGGCCGGGTGAGTCTTTCTACTAAGAAGTTAGAGCCTACTCCAGGGGATATGATTCGCAACCCAAAGCTTGTTTTTGAGAAGGTAATTTCTCCAGAAAACCTCATTATAGTTTTGTTTATCTTGACACTTTGTTGTAGCTTGTACGTTTCTATGCTTTTGCAGAGGTTATTTTGTTGATTTTAAGTTTTTTTCCAAGAAAAAAATAATAAAAAAAAAAAAGAGGAAAGAGAAAAGAGAAAAGAAAAAAGAAAAAAGAAAAGAGAGAACTCGTTACATTTGTTTATTGTTAATGGGGATTTTAATTTTCCAATGTATGACACTTGCTCCTCACCTTTTTGAATAGAAAGAGATTACTATATATGTGTTTGATCCTGTTCTGACAGGCGGAGGAGATGGCTCAGACATTCAGGCAAAGAATAGCTCAAGCAGAAGCTATGGCTCGTGCTGACATGCTGAGATTCCAGCCTGAGGTATCCATTCAGTTTTTTTTTTTTTTTTTTCCACTAATATTTCACTTGGACCCAAATAAAACAAATTGAGTAAAAAAGGGTAGATTGACTGCAATATTATGAAAGATAAATTAAGGGTTATGCTCTTCATGCTACTGAGCTGCACAATAACTTTCAAATTTCAATTAATGAATATTAACCTTGTATTGGAGAGAATGATTTCCACCCCCTACCCTTCCTACCTAAACACCTCAAAATTAATCTGATTTGTATCAGTGGTGAATTTTCAATAGCCATATCGGGTATGAGAAGATTATTGATTGTAGAGGTTGCGTTTTCTTGGGACTGCCCTGTAGAAATGATGGTATAGATAATGTTGATTTAAGCAGGTCAACTTATTGCAAGGGCATTGATTACATCTGTTCCAAAGCATTGTTTACTCGATGTTCTTGGTGGATTGTGTACATTTGTTTTTGTGATGTTGTGTTACCTTTTATATTGGTATGGTATCTAAGAATGTTACATTGATCATAACTAGGTTTGAGCATCTTGTTCACATTTGTTTTTTTGCAGAGTGGATTGACCCTGAATGCTGACGGGATTTTAGGTCCACTTACTACAGACTTGCCTGCTGAAGGCCTAGACTTGAGCGATATTCCTCCAGCTGAAGATTCTTGATCAGAAGAAGTTACATAAATCCTCTTGCTTTCTCCTTCTTGTACACACAAGTTACTTTGTTTTTTTTCTTTTCAAGGGTTGTTGAAAAATGTTTTTACTTTAGCCTCTCAGCTAAATAGATTACATTTTTCATTCTCACTAGATCAATGTTCCTTCTAATCCTTGATCTATATTTGCTTTATAGCAACATCTCTCTCTAATGGTATGAAGTGTTCCCAACTGCAAAGCAGAGGCTGCTCATGGATGATGCCCTTACCAGAGCACTTGTGAGCTGTTCTGAATGGATTTGTCTAGTTGCTTGATTTGCAGATCAAGTGGCATTATGTTATTTAAGTAGAAAGTGCATTCATAATGATCACTGATGACATTTTTTTTTTTAAATTAGTCATTTTGATGGGTATTTTGTTTTGAAATGAACAACCAATGGGTTTTTTTTCATCGTGCAATAACAGTGGGACTTGAATATAAACTTTCCTAAGGTTGTGTTCGGTTAGAGGATTTGATGAGAAAAATCGAGAGAGAGAGAGAGAGAGAGAATTGATAGGATTCGAATTTCAGGTTATGTTTGGTTGAGTTGAGAATTGGAGAGAGAAAAAAATCAAAGTGAACCCAAAAGACAAAAAGTAAAATTATATTTTTCTCACTTTATTTTTCCCTATGTTTTTTATTATAACCAATCAAAAAGTGAAACTATATATTTTTTTCCTTTTCATTTCTTTCATCAAATCGTTCAACCAAATATAACTTAAATGAGTATCTTATCTACTAAGTCAATTTTTTGGTTGTAACATAAAGTTGGAGCCTGTAACTGCCGCACAAGAATTGCATCAAGAATAATTCAATAATTATAGACATTGCCGAGTCAAGGCTTTCATATGGATAATTAGGAAGGTGTATGGGCTATAGGTATAACTTTTAAGTTGTGTTGTGTTTGGATTCTGAATTTAAGTAAAAATTTAAAAGAGAAAGGAAAAATGAAGGAATAAGTGATAACAAAATTAAGTAAAGTGACACTTGTTCCTTCTCTTCTTATTTCTCTACAAATCCCTACTCAAACGTTAGATTCAAACACAGGCCAAGCTATACCACAATCATGAAATTATTTGTTATAAATATCTCTTCAATAACATGACAAACCACCAACCATGCAGAAAGGAGGAAAAAATAACCTGGGAAAAAAAATTCAATCATCTTTCTACACCATTGAAGGTCAAGTCATACAGTTACTTCACAATAGCCCTAAAAGTGATGTGATTTCAAAAGAAAAGTTTCCTGTCACAATTTTTCTTACAGCATGTATATCGACAAAACTTTTACCTATCAACACATTCCTTCCATGGAAGGCATGATTACAAGTAAAGACCGCCACTCAGAGAAACCAAATATCACTCTCTCACAATTGTCATATGGATGCAGCCTAGTCAGTGAAAAACTTTGCTTTGAATCCTGAATGAGATAAACCTAACTTCCTTCTTTGTTGGTCTTCTTGCCTTTCTTTTGCTTTTGCTTCAACTGAGTAAGTCCTGCTGCTGTGATTTTCACATTTCCAACTATCGCAGCGACAAGCTCTGGATCTGTACATGCCTTCATCAATTCCTTCTCTCTATTTGTCACTTCTGGAATGTGACTGAACAAGTTCATAGCCATTTTTGCAGCTGCATTAAAAATATGAAGAGACAAAGTTAACACTACCAAATTTTGTCACCAATGGCTGATATATTTTAGAGTGCTGCTATTTGTCCCCCACCTAAGTACTTTGAATTTTTATTATTTTCTTTGAGTACCCACCTTAAACTCAAATTTACCCTCATCTCTAACATTTGAACCCAAACCCTAACCCTAGCTCCCACCACCAACAACCACTTTCGCTAGCTTACTCACCGGAGCCCTCTCCTCAGGCAGTCCCACCACTGTCGTTGCCTTCCTTCTTCTTCCCTCTTTCTTCGTCTTCACCTCCTTTGCCTCAGCTCTAGCAAACCACCATTCCACTCCATTGCCTCCTCCTCTTCTCTTCTTCTTTTTTCTCCTTCTCCCTATCGTGATCCTTCAGAAATAAGGTAGAACATTGATAAAAATCTGTTAATCCAATAAATTCATGAATGTCACAGGACACCTCCATACAAAAAAAACTAATACAAATACTAGTACATCTCTTTGTTTTTTTAATAAGCAACAAAAAGATAAGAACATCTCTTTCATATGCTGCTATCGCAATCTTAGATTTATTCAACCATCAATTATAAATATCATGCAATTGATTGCTGCACTCCAGTACAAACACATAATTCAACCCAAATAAACTGTTACTTGAATTTATGATGGGTGGCAGGGTGGTGTGGGAATGGAGCTGGGGTGGGCAATGGGTTGGTGAAGGGGAGGAGGAGCAGATGAGGTTGGCCGGAGCTGGTGGCGGGTGGTGGTTGGTGGGTTTGGGAGATTAGAGATGGGGACAAAATTGGAATTTTATGATGGGGTAAAACTAGAAAACGAAAAAATATGTAGGGGTGGGGTGCTATAGGAGCACTCATATTTTATAGGCTTAAAATAAAACTCGAAAGTGAAATTTTAAAGGAGGGGAAAAAAATATTATGTACAGGAAAAAGAAAGAAAAGGAGAAACATAAAAGGAATGTCCTGAAAGATACCATGAAACACAAAAAAGGATAAATATTGAAAAGGTTATACTTTATATACCTTTTCCTTTCTTTGCAGTTCCAGGAACAATCTTCACACGATATTTATATGATTGTAGGGCACTATAAGGACCACAGACAGGCACGGCATATAAGAGGATATCATTAGGCAGTGGATTCCCAGTCAAGTAATCCACATCATTTAATTTTTCTCTCTCATCTTCACCTATCTCATGGATATCATCTTCCTCCATGGCTATCTTGTCCATCTCATTAGCAGTATTACTCAAACCGGCATGGGGATTATCCTCGAGTCCACCATTTGAATGACCATGCACTGCTTCATCAGGACGTTCTTGGCAATCCCGAGACAGATGACCTGGCTTTTTACATTTATAACATATTTTTTGAGCATCTTCTGCGCCTACCATTGAACAAAAGAACAAAGAACAAATCAAATTAACTTCAATAAGATAATTTCATAAACAGAATTTTAGACTTGACCTCATCCAGATAACCAAGGAAAATATGGATAAGTAAATATTATAAAACATCGAAAAAACCGTATATTTAGTGCAGATGCAATTTTACTACCATAACACACCAATATGTGCTAGTGTGTGTGTGAACTTCATCCAAATTAATGGCCTGTAAGGACACATGCTATAAAGTAGCTCAAAGAAGGGAACATCATAAGCAACTACAAAAGAAAATTTTAATGTGCAAGAATCTGATAGGAGGGTAGTACGGGGAGAGGATGCTGTACAGAAACAACTATAAAAAATTTAAAAAAAAAAAAATTGTGTATAAGAATATAATAGGAAAGTACACAGAGGATGAATAATAGGAATCTAAAGTAAAAGTCCTCCTTAGCCGCTAACTCACCAGTGAGAATGTAAAATGGAGAAATTAGGGTTGAAAGTTAGGAGGAAGAAGAAGAAGAAGAGAGAACTTTGTATATATTAAAAACCAATTAATTCCCTCAACTGTACATCACTCAAATATATATAAAAAACCTAAAGTAGCAATATGACCATCGTACCCTCAACTTAAGTAAATATTAACAAGAGAACAAAAATAACTAAAAGAACTATTCTAACACTCCCCCTCAAGCTGGAGCATAGAGATCGAACATGCCCAGCTTGGCAGACAAACGAAGAAATGAAGGCCGAGCCAAAGGTTTGGTGAGAATATCACCCAATTGATCCTCAGAACGAACATAAGGAGTCACCAGTTGCTTGCGGAGTAAGAGATCACGAATAAAATGGCAATCAACTTCGATATGTTTGGTGCGTTCATGAAACACAGGGTTATTGGCAATGAAGATAGCAGCCTGATTGTCACAAAACATGCGCATAGGAGTGGAAACAGAAAAGCCAAAATCTTGGAGAAGAGACTGAACCCAGAGCATCTCAGAAGCAGTATGAGCCATGGCGCGATATTTAGCCTCGGCACTAGAACGAGCAACGACGGTCTGTTTCTTGCTACGCCAAGTGACAAGATTACCACCAACAAAAGTACAATAGCCTGAGGTGGAACGGCGGTCAGTCGTATTACCAGCCCAATCAGCATCACTGAAGCCAGCGACAGACAAGGAGGAAGAGGGGCGATAGAGCAACCCCCGACCTGGAGCACGCTTTAAGTATTGCAAGATACGACATACAGCCACAAAATGGGGTTGGCGGGGAGCATGCATAAACTGACTGACCACGCCCACGGCATAGGTAATATCTGGACGAGTGACAGTGAGATATATTAACTTGCCAACCAACCGACGATAACGACCAATATCAGGAAAGAAGTCGCCAGTGTCACCAGCAAGCTTGACACTAGAATCCATGGAAGTATCACTGGGGCGAGTGCCTAAAAAAAAAAAAAAAAAAAATCTGAAGACATGTTTAATTTTTTTAAATTTTTTTTAAACTTTGATTTCGAACAAAAAGGGAAAAACGGTATAATGATTGGGTTTTTGGATTTTTTTTTTAATTTCTATTTTTTTTTGGAAAACATAAGCTGGCTATGGAAGATATCTTCAAACCAGCTTGAGGGGGAGTGTTGGAAATTTGTGTTAATGTATATAATAAGATGGTGGCATGTATATAATATGATAGTGGTGTTGGTGAAGGATAGTGGCATGTATAGAATATGATTGTGGTGTTGGTGGTAGATAGTGGCATGTATATAATATGATAGTGGTGTTGGTGAAGGATAGTGGCATGTATAGAATATGATTGTGGTGTTGGTGGTAGATAGTGGCATGTATATAGTATGATAGTGGTAGATAGTGGTAATATATAATATGTAAGTGGCATATAATGGGTTATAATGATGTTTGTAATATCTCCTATATAAGGAGTGTCATTTGGTCTTGTAAAATAAGAAGTTTTGAATATAACAGAAATATATTCCTTCTTCCTCATATTTTTGGAGTTCTTCTTCCTCATATTTTCTAAGTTTGATGCATAGCAAAAATCTGTTCATATAACTCGTAGACTCGAGAGACATTACTTTGAGTTGAAAAAGACTCAGCAAGGGAGTCCCAAATGGCCTTAGAGGTATCACAAAATTCCATGGTAGTAGCAACCTGTGGTTCCAGACTATGCCAAATCCAACCCATCACACAAGAATCCTCACAACACCAATCATCATAATCCTTATCATCAGTAGAAGGAGGGAGTTCACTAAGATAGCGGGACTTCTTCTTACCTCGTAAGAAAATCTTGACAGCATGGGCCCAAGCCAAATAATTAGCACCATTCAATTTCTTTGTAGTGATAGATTTAGGCATATCATTATCTTTACCCATAGTTATAGCCTTAGCCTCAATCTCAACCATAATGATCAACCAGACTTGCAAACAGTCAATACCCACAATCACACCTATAAACACAGAACTAGCTCAACAACCAAGTTTGGACCCAAATGAGACCAACACATCAACTCAACAGTAGCAATCAATAAAGAGAGGACAAATATCCCTTGCTAGAAGGGTGTCAGCCCTTAGAGGGGTGATTTTCGTCTCCAGAAACAGCCACAAGTGATTTTCGGCTCCAGAAACAGCCACAAATTGAACAGAATATCAACCCCACAAGAGTAAAACAACAAATTAAGATCAAGGACCCTTAGAGGGGTGATTTTCGGCTCCTAGGGAAGTGAGCCCAGCAAGAAAAACCAGAAAAAAAATAGTCCCAAAGGCAGATTCAAAAAAACAGTCCCAAAAACACGAAATAGTTTCAAAAATCGAAAACTCACATCAGGGATGATCAAAAAATTCCACAAAAATCACCATAAATCTCAGGAGGCAATTTCGAGTCTAGGGGTGTAGGACCCGTCCGTACACTGCTGACGTCATGCTGACGTCATCGTACGGCTGATGACATCAGCACGTATCGGTCACCTCAGATAGATCTTTAGAATCTGTAGAACCCTTTCTAATGAAGAAGAGATAGCTCTGATACCAAGTGAGAATGTAAAATGGAGAAATTAGGGTTGAAAGTTAGGAGGAAGAAGAAGAAGAAGAGAACTTTGTATATATTAAAAACCAATTAATTCCCTCAACTGTACATCACTCAAATATATATAAAAAACCTAAAGTAGCAATATGACCATCGTACCCTCAACTTAAGTAAATATTAACAAGAGAACAAAAATTACTAAAAGAACTATTCTAACATCACCAATTACCAAATGATGGCAATGTAGAGTTGAAACATCAACTGTTCTAGTTTTGGCACAGAAATTCCAATTGTTATAACATAAAACGTACCCACAGCAGGTGTATTGGCTTTTCCTGTGGTGGCTTTTTCATCCTGCGAGTCCTTATCATTCTTTTCCACTTTTCCAGCAGACTGTAAATTCATAATAAGGTCAGTAATGCAGTCATTAATGGGTCACAAAAAATGGAAAATAAGGAATAAACTCTCTGAACAATAATATATTATAGAAGCATTTCTCTTTAAGATATAATAGACTGGGAAATTTTTTAATTTAAAAATAAACAATAAGGTGTGTCCTTATAAAGCATGAGCATTCACAAGTTTAAGATATCAGAGAAATAAAAATAAAAGAATAAAAGAATAAATATGAATTAAGATTCCAATATACGTAACTGAAAGAATGCTAGACAGTGAAACTTCTTTATTGGTGCATATAATCAAGTACAGTGAACAAGCCGGAAACCAAGAGCAACTGCCAGTAATGGGTGTATATTATATTTTCTCCTTAGGTGCAAGGTACATGACAGCCAAGCAACAAGCTACAAAAAGTTGTTCAGAAATAAGGTAGAACATTGATAAAAATCTGTTAATCCAATAAATTCATGAATGTCACAGGACACCTCCATACAAAAAAAACTAATACAAATACTAGTACATCTCTTTGTTTTTTTAATAAGCAACAAAAAGATAAGAACATCTCTTTCATATGCTGCTATCGCAATCTTAGATTTATTCAACCATCAATTATAAATATCATGCAATTGATTGCTGCACTCCAGTACAAACACATAATTCAACCCAAATAAACTGTTACTTGAATTTATGATTTATGTCAAAATTATATCCCATATAATGCTCATGAGTTATCCTAATTGTACTTCATTCTTGTTTCAAAAAATTTCACTCGATAATTTTAATTGAAGTCAGTGGTAGTTGTAAACAAAATCATAATTATATGAAGGTCACAATGATTGACTACTTGAATTAGAGAAGTGGTTTAGGCAATGTCATCACAAGAGGAGATTTGTGGAAAACAACTTCAACGGAAGGCTCTGAATCATTGTAACTAGAATAGGAAGCATAAATGGAAAACGGTATGGGAAATGGAAGTGGGGAAACTCAGCCAAAACATGTATGCAAAAGGAGGCTGAAAAACAATTAATAATAAAAGGAAAAGTCTAGAGACCCACCTTTATCCACCCAGAAAATTTTAGGTGGGTGATTGTGTGATGGAAATTAATCTGTGTAGTGTGGGGTCCATGTGAGGTGTGGTGGAGATTAATTTCTAGGTAATTTCTGGGTTGATAAGGGTGGGTTTGTAGTATAACTCATAATAAAATGGAAAACCTAACAGGAATCCTAGAAAGAAACTTTTACAAAAAGGAAAGGAAACATACAAAAAACATACAAGACACTTGTATGAACACTTAATGGATACTTTAATAAAAAAATATCTGATGCTTAATTGAAACTTCAGGAAAAATAATTAAAAAAAAAACTAACGATAATCACTTGTGGATGATAGGGAAGCACATAGGAAATGAATAAGGAACATGTTATATATTTAAGTTTCATTGGAGTAGTTTTCAAGTAATTTTCAGTGTTTCCAAGTAGTTTCTGTAGAGTTTCTCTTTAACTTCTTTGGAGTTTCCCTTCAATTTCTAGCTTCGATTCAATATCTTAAAAGTATCCCAAACATTTCCCCTAATTTTCAAAATTGTATCAAACCTGTGAAAGCATGTTTCCCCTCTCAAGAAGGAACATATTATATATTTAAGTTTCATTGGAGTAGTTTTCAAGTAATTTCCAGTGTTTACAAGTAGTTTCTGTAGAGTTTCTCTTTAAATTCTTTGGAGTTTCCCTTCAATTTCTAGCTTCGATTCAATATCTTAAAAGTATCCCAAACATTTCCCCTAATTTTCAAAATTGTATCAAACCTGTGAAAGCCCCTCTCAGAAAGAGCTTCCTATTAACTGTGCTCTAAATATTGGGAAATAAACAACTGAAAAGTATCTAGTTTATGGCACCAAAGCTGTTGGCTAAATAAATTTTGCTATTCATGTTCAGGGTTTAGGCCGTTCATTACAAAATGTTCCATTGGAGGCTCTTTTACTGACCAAGTATCAGGCTTGTGCCATCCCATTGTTCCATGAAACTTCACATTACCCTAATTAACTCCCTCCAAGAGAAGCAATCAGGTATTAACAGTAATTCAAATATTCTGCACGTACTTGAAACCATAAACTGACATAATTAACATGCAAAGCGAGCCCATGGATTTATATTGTAAAAAAGATTAGAGAGAGATTAGAGAGAGACAAAGGTAGGAGCAAATATTTGCATCGGTCAGTAACCAATTAAGGTGTAATACTGCAATTTATGGTACTTACAGCCAGTAAAGCCATACGAATTTTCCTTTCTTCTTCATCTTGATCCGCATACTTCTCCTTCATCTTCTTGAGTTTGCTCCTCTGCCCACGACTGACTTTTCCACCACCACCTGGCTTCAAATTTTGAACATTTTTATCAGGCTGACTTGCCGTACTACTGTTATCTTCTACCTCTTCTTTTTCATGCTCAACATTTGCTCCCATGGTACTATTCTTCTGACCTTTCTTGAGCTTTCTTCTTTCAGCTTTTGAGACATACGGTTTCTCCCTTACAGGTGGCCTTTTTTCTTCATTATTACGTTCCTCTGCCGAACGTACTTGAGGAGCATGGAGCCCATAATCTTTACCAGATGCAGTAGCAGCTCCAATCTCAAGAGCTCTATCAATGAGATCCTCAAGTTGTGGGGAGACAGAAGCAACGCTTTCTCCAACAATTTCAGTAACGTTCTTTTTGTCAAAACCATTAAAAGTAGACATATCTTCAACAAGAACTTCATCTGAATTGATAGCTTTAATGTCAGGGGAACTCAAGGCATTACCAGAGCTAACCTCAGAAGACAAACCTCCAGAAACAGGTTTGCTATGATCAGTTAATGAATCTGTGATGCTTTCTGACTCTAACATATGTTTTTCATCTGCGACTTCCTTCTCTGAGTCAGAATCAGATATTTCTTTAAAAGGCCCAGTTTCTTCTACATCATTTATCCCTTCCTCCTCACCTCTTACCCTCCTTTCATTCAAATGAGATCCCAAGGAACTGTCATCCAAGCGAAACAATATCCCAAAGCCCATTATAAGAGGCTGTGGAGGAAGAAAGTTCTTCTTCCCACGGATCATGAAACTTCCTACTGTAAGATATTCCCCAGTAGGAGCAGTTTTGCTGACCTGGTGAGGATATACCCACCAGGCACTAGTGACAATCTTTGAATCCCATGCCTGGCTGTGGCAAACCTACAACCCAATATATAATATCAAGTTGATTTATCCCCACCTTACAGATGCAAATTTGCAAAAGAAAAAAATATGGTGTATGAAGATAAGCTACTTACAGTAAAACATCCTGTTTGGTTCAAAGTGAGAGGGGGTACAGGGTGTTCAGGCTTGTGATTCTTGATCACAGTGCTAGAAGCTCCATGGAGCTCGGCATGGACATACCTGTTTTGTCAACAACACCCACCCATCCAAAAATGAGCAACATCATCATAATGTTTAATAATAGAAAAAACATACTGCCTAAAAAACTATTAGCTGATGAATGCCTTATTAACTTACAGATCTCCTTTTGACATATAACGCTTTACTATCATCTCATTTTGTTGAGCATCTCGTCCGCTGATAACCAAATAATTCTCACTGCTGATGAACCAATTAAATTTCTCAAACCAGTGAACCTTGCGCATATGTGAAATTGCAGCAACAGTTTTCTCCTGTAAATTATAGATGAAAAGAACTTAGGCACTTAACCATAACAACATCTCTTTGTTTTTTTACCAAAATAATAGTTAAAACACAATAAAATGTGAAAAGTAGTCATTTCTTTGGTTCTATATAATTGTTTAATTTTTTTACTGAAGAAGACAGTCTGTCATTGAGATGATGTAAATCAAAATCTATGCAAAAGCATTCCAAGATGAGATCTCCAGAAGCTGGTGCAAAGCCAATCAAATAACACCATTTGTTCAAATTCAAATGACACCCATCCTTGACATATCAACTTTGAGTCATAAAATGGAGATATATGAAGTTGGATTGCCATAATATTAAATAATGTGATGTAAACTATCTTTTTCCGTCCCTCAGTATGAGTCGTTCTATTCTCCATGTGACTCCCATATTAATATAAGTAAACTGAACATCTGGTTAATGTTTTATTGCAATATATTGGTCTGGTTTCATAGTTATGTAGCTGATACAGATACTAGTATCAGTACACATTCAGTCAGAAAAATATCAGTAAAATGTGCAGGCTGCAGTTACCTGTGAAAGCTGGAGCCGGGTCTTTCTCTCGGCAGCTTTGAAGGCTTTGTCATGAGCAGTAATAGTCTTTTCCTGTTTGCTCTCCTGCTTTTTCTTCTGTTCATACCACCTTCGAGCATTGGCATGGGCTGAGAGTGCCAGATCAACTTCTACCTAGAAAGTGGAAAATTATAGCAAAGGCAAATAAATATGTATAATAAGATTTATGGTTCAGATGTTTGATGAATTAAGTGACTAGAATGAGTGGATGTTAAAAATTGAGTACAAAAACAAAAGCCATAAAAATAGAAGGCTATACATTGGATTGTTTGAAAGAATATTGGCAATATTTTCATCACCAAGCAAATTAATTAATGATATGATTAACAGCCCAATCGTCAACAATTTACCCAAAGTGATCTTCTGGTTGTTTGACATCTTTAAGAAAGCCAATTGGCAATCTTAGAAGTAGAAAATGCAAGCATACACTTGGCATATTGTATGTGAACATATATACTTCTTAGAACAAGAGTGAGAATAGGCATAGACATACACGGTTAAAGCTTCATTAATTTAACTAGAGATTGACGTTAAAAAATCAAAATCCAAAAATTACTACTTAAAATAACACCTTTTCTACAGGTTGTGTCTTTTCATCATCATCCATTTCATCAAGATTGTTGCTCAAAAGCAGTGTCATGCAATTTCTTTCAAGATAAAGTTTGTCGATGAGGCTGGCCACAGGATTTCCAGATTTCCTCTCCTCTTTCACCATACGAGCTAGATCTTCCCAGTTCATACCATTTGCAAGAGCTACACGAACAGCCAAGATGGCAGAATCAACATCGTCTAAGTTATATTCTATCAGTTCCGCCATTGTAACACAACGATCAACTTCTTTCTTCAGTGTATGCACACGATTTTCCTACAGAAGAATACAGAAAGATTCCAATGTTGACAACAGCACCCAATACTAGAATATTTCAGCAGAAAACTGATATCAACTCCAAGAAATGAATAGGGATGCCAGAAAACACTAAAACCGAGAAGAAACATTAATGAGAATTCTAAAGCTTAATATAAATGAGTTGTGCATTATAGTTTGAAACACAAGACAACTAACAATTCATAAACTTCCAGGAAGTATACCGTGCCTCCATTTCAGCTTTCCACTTGGCACTTCTTGTAATGTTATCAAAACCTACACAACTATTGTTGCATCTAACATGACCAATAAAAATAGTGACCCAAGAAACCCTTACTGGAACTCTTATTGCTTGGGGGGAGAAAGAGAACGAAAAGTCCATATTGAGTTTGGCTGATCCCAGGGATCCCCGCCTAACGCAGGCCACAGTTAAGCCCACTTTCACCATCCAAAATATCATATTAACCAATCAAAAGTGCAATAACTAACCAAGAGCATACCTTGTCAATTTCAGAAAGGATTTATTTATTTATAAATCAACCATGTTAAAAACGAAAACAGAAAGTGTTGGGGCCTACAATCTGATAATATCAAATGTATGATTATTTTGAGTCCTGATACTCATATTTAAGCCCTGTTTGGTAGGACTTATTTCCAGCTTATTTCAACTTTTAGCTTAATTTAAGCTATTTTGATGTGTTTGGTTCAGCTTAACAATCCAGCTTATAGTTTTTTGTAAGTCAAAAATCAACTTATTCTTTAAGTGGGGGAGGAGAAGCTTAATTTATAAGTCAAAAATCAACTTATATTCACAGTTGCTGGAAATTGTGTTCTTACAGCTTATTTCAGCTTTCAGCTTAATTTAAGCTATTTTGATGTGTTTGGTTTAGCTTATAGCTTATAACTTATAGCTTTTTGGAAATCAGAAATCAGCTTATTCTTTGAGTGGGGCAGGAGATGCTTAATTTATAAGCTTCTTCATATTTTCTAAGTACAGTTATAAGCTATAAACTGTTAAGGTATAAGCTATAATTACTTTCCCACAGCTCTACCAAATGGGGCCTTACTTAGCCTCCCACAACTTTTATTTTTTGTTCCTTTTAGTCCTCCATGTGGACAATTTTTGTGCACAAGAAACATCTAGGCTGTGTGTGGAAAGGTGTTCCAAACACATTTCCACCCACTAATTTGAGTGTGGTGCTTGTTTTGAGTTTTCAAATTATAATTTCACACTCACTTTTGAAACTCCTTTTCAGGCGAAAAAATGTGACTAACCCAGTCGTCCTCCCGGACGTCTGACCAGAACAATGTTCGTTTTTTTTTTTTTTATATATATTGTAAATGAAAAATATTTTCGGAATTTTTTTTAATTTTTATATGAGTTTTGAATAGAATTTTGGATTGTGTGTTTGGTTATGAGTTGTAAGTTTTTTAATCAAATAACTTTTCTAATTTCAAAAACTCAAAACTCCCTCCAAAACTCAATTCAAAACTCATAACCAAACAAATTTTCCACAATAAAATATTAATTCCAAAATTCACAAACTCAAAATACAATTCTATTCTCAAATCATATTTAGAAAACTCTACCAAACGCTACCCTAGTTTTTTTTCGTGCACTCCATGAATGAATGTCAACCTAGGGCATACTAAACCCACACCAAGCAATAAAATAGGGCCTATTGCTTTCGGCTCCACTACAATAAATTGATGCTAACGTGCTCTCATCAGCTAATTGAGATACAAACAGAAATAAAATCAAAGAACTTAAGAGAAATGGCAATGAGTCTTAAGTCATGGCAATCTGTTAAAATCCACTAACCCACTACACCACTACCACCTCCACTTCACCTACTCCTTACCTACTACACACTCATCCTCTTCTATATATAGGAATCATGAATCATTGTAATAGATAACAACAATATACATCAATCAATAATACAATTCTCTATTTCTTTTTATACATCAATTTTAACACAATCTACTATAATTGATTTTAACTTTGTGCAGTATACATTTTAAAACAATGATGTAAAAGCAAACAACTTAAAGAAGGGACAGAAAGAAAAAAGAAAACCCCATAGAAATTAAACAATGGACCAGAAACGGTATAAGAGTCTGTCTAGAAGAAAATACTATAAATAGAACATAAACCTGATCCATTCGAATTTTGCTAAGTTTCTGCATTGCAGAGCCCTCTTTAGTTTTCTGCTGTTGTTCAACCCTTTGACTCTCAATTTTACTGTAGAACTCATCCAAAGATGCATCAAATGTCTCAAACTTAACAGAATCCCTTGACTTGAACTGGTTCAGTAATAGGGGGCAAAATTCATCATAAATCTGCAATGGAGGTTAGAACACTCAAACATTACAGCCATACAATATAAATTTACAATGAACAAAATTGAATGCAGAAAATAATAGAAGTAACCTGGTCAGAATTCTTTTGAAGCATCAAGATGTAGCCTTCTGGAATTCTATCACCGGATATAATGTCCTCTAACCAGTCCTCAAACTTAGCAACAGCTTGGGCCAGAACTTGACATGTAGCTTCATCTAATTTGAAATCCTTGCCAATTTTTGTATTTGGAACCAGACCAGCATCTAGAATAATATGTTCAGACAATTGAGGCCCATAACCTAATGCTTCCCCAAGAAAAGACTTCAACATGGCTTGCTTGGCACGGGCACCATCATTTGGAGTTTTATTAGACTCTGATAACTTCCCATTTTTGCGATTCCCTTGCTTTCCTTTGGGTACATCAGTATCATTAGTTCCACCTTCATCACTCCTAGCATTGTCATTGCTATCAACTTCTTTCAAAGATGCAAGGGCTTCCTGCAACTTTGCAATGGTAGTCCGCTCAAAAACTCGACAAATTTCAATTGGATAACGATGACGCGACATGATTGCAAACCCCTTATCATCATCCCTGCCAATAGTAAATTGTTGTTACATAACTAAAATTTGAATTTTGTAGACATAAACCCGTAAAATAATAAGGTATTGCAGCAACATATATTGAATCTCAACAGTGTGTGTGTGGTTTTACATTCATCCTGGAGATATAAGAATCTGGTTTTACATTCATAAATGCTTTAAACACTCAAAATATAGTCTAAACACTTCTTTTTTCATGCTTGTACTGAACCTCATGTAATTTTTAACCCTGCCTTAGTCATGTTATTATCTTTATGCAATTTGTTATTTTTCACACAACCAACATAATATGCCAAGTTCATTACACTTATTTCATATTCTTATTGAGCCCAGCGAATGAGAGCAGCTATTCGCTACATTAAATTTGTGGCATTGCCACACACCATAGGGAATAATTTTTCCCAGTGAACATATAAAAACAATGATAATTTTTTTGTTTCACTACGCATATCTATACAATTATAAGATGAATACAGAAATTACATATACAGGCCATAAATGAACACATGCAGAAATGGATGCAAGCCACCATGCACAGATACACACACACACACACACAGATATATATACTGCTGCACAGCAGAATAGAAACTGATCATGAGCACCAACCTGTGCGACCGAAGAAGAGTCAAGACCATGAACTCAGAGTCTGTGAGGAGAATATTTCCTTGGGCATACAACTCCAATATAACATAATGTGCATTAGCACCCAGTCCAAATTGGAAGAGTATTATCTGAATATGACATAAAATAGATACAATGATAACCATACAGTAAACTGACAATCAAAGCACAGGAGAGAATCAAACTAACTTGTATACTCAGAAAACAAAATCCCTCAAGGCCATACCCTATCATATCCAAGCTGCCGCACATCCTCAAGCCTCCTCGTCCGTATGTGCTTCCTCAATTTGAGAGTAAACCCAGAAGGAGTATTGCTTTTATCTCTATAAAACAGCAATAAATTAAATACACACTACTAAAATAAAATGCATTTCTACACTCAAATCTTTTTCTGCTATCTTATTATCAGTGAAAAACTCAACCCAGCACAACCAAGCCACCTAATTTAGCTGGGCCGAGTGAGTGGAAGTTTTAAATTTCTTAGCATTCAATATTGAAATTCCGTTTTCTTTTTTACTTTCTCAGAAACCAAACAGGGTTTGCGAAGCTAAGCAAAGAGGGTCTCACCGAACATAAGCAGTTGTATGCAATCTCACACCACTTTCCATCAACAACAAGACCTTCTCGCTCTCCCCAGATTCAGTAACTCCACTACTATTCATAAGCTTGAATACATAAGTCTGCAACCAAGCGTAATCATCAAAACAATCCAATTAAAATCCCTTTCAAAATCATTCGATCATTCAGCTAGACAATTTGACGAACGGGTGGTGTCAATGATCCAATTCACATACATATACATATACATATACACATACACAAAACATGTATTTGATTGTTACCTTGGGAGAGAGATCATAGACGTTGGAACAACGCATTCCGATTAAACGACGCAAGCACTTGACCTCGGCGGCCACATCGGCCGTGTTCATACGAACTTTCACCATCTTTCTGTGAGTGTTGCTCTGTTGGGGATTTTTTGATTTGGTTCTTGAATTTCTTGAAAGAAGAGATTTTTAGTGAGAAAAGGAAACGAACTGGGATTGGAAATAATATGATTTGGTTTGGTTTGGTTTGTTTTGGTGTGGTCTGGTTTTGTCTGGAGTATATAAAATTAAATTAAAGGCTGTTTGGCAACGAATGAAGAATTGTAAAACTAGGATTGGAAATGAAAATTACATTTACACCCCCTGGATACTTTTGAAATTATACTGTCACCACTTTTATTTTGCAATACTACCAACTTCTCCTTTTTTAGAAATTTGTGTTAGAACATCTCCCAACAGAAAAGGCATTTAGTCACTATCTTAAACCACCTCCATCTCATATGAACCCCATCACTCACAACTAATGAAACACACATCCACCATCACCACTCAAATTCTATATAATATATATATATACATATTACTAACAAATCAATAACTTCCATACAAACTCACAACTAAATGGTAGAGAGAGAGAGATGGATATTTTTTAACTTTTAGTAACCATGGTGGTTGTGGAAGGATTGATGTAGGAAAAGAGGCTGATAAATTGATGATTTTTCCTCCGACTTGTAGATGATTTTTTTAATGAATTTGTTATTTTTTGTTGTTGATTTTTTTTTTTTATCCCTTTTTCTATATGGTTTGTGTAGCCCTTTGAGTCTTGTTCTATATGTTACTGTTTTTAATATAAATGTTTTCTATGTTCTCAAAAATTAAAAAACGTTCAGAATTCTTTTATCGAGAAATTTAGAGTCTAAAATTCATTTTTTTAGATTTATTCCTCATCCAACAATTTCCAATTTCCATAAACATTTACAATTTTTACTTCTAAGGAGTTTTTGTTCTAGTCCCCTTTTCAAGTCAGATTCCAAAACGTTCATAACTTAATTCACTTCAATCCAAATTAGATTTACTCAAAATTCAGAAACCTTTATACCACATTTAAAACCATGCCACTCTTCTCTAAGGTAATATTCACATTTGTGCATGTCTATATTTAAGTCAAGACCTCAAGTATAGGACAAATGTTGAAAATAAGGTAACTGAACCAAGCAGCCTCATTACAATTTTCCATTCATTTTATTTTTTTTAAAAAAATAACATGCATATAAATTCTTTAAAAAAGGAGCACATAACATTGGTCTAAATTCTGGAACAAACACAATTTGCAAAGCATAATGGCCATTTACAGGTAACAGATTGATGTTCCTGCCATGCCTTGGTACAAGAGGCCATTCCTCCCTCGTATGCATTTTGTCAAGTAACTAATAACAATACAGACGTGAACTCAATTACAGCATACCAATGATACCCCCAAATTGGTCCTGCATGTAAGTAATGACTTTCTGAAAAGATGATATACATTGCTGATGAACCCACTATGTACACTTACACCAGTGGCTCGGTTTGGTTGTGCACTATATCTACATGATTTTCTTGTGTACCCCTTCACTCCTGTGATGTCTTGACAATTTTGCAGTTGTCCGACATCTCTAATGATGCTCGACAATTCTGAACACAGACCGGACCAGACCATCCCATGGGGTATTTTCTTTGTCAAGACGGTGATTCTCTCAGAATGAAACTGGAGCATTACATGTATGGCTGGAAAGGACAAGCTCGGTCAACTCAAATCAAAACCAGCATCGGCATTTATAGCATACACCAATTTCTGCTCCAGTTGCTCTTTACTGTATTACAGACAAGTTTGATGAAAGTCAATGATGATAGAAAGGATGAAAAAGCTCACATAAAGGATAAGGACTTGAAGCACGAAAATTAAAGAATAAGATAGATTATTAACATGTGAAGACCAAGAAAAAGGAGAGTAAACTAGTTTCAGATGCTATTCTTTTTCTTGTTTGACAAGTAATGGAGACAAGTGGGCACTCCAAACTACATAACCAAAGACAATATCACTAGTGGCATTACATGCGCTCTAAAAAGATAATGGGTATGTTTGGTTTGTGTTTGAGAGATGTGCTTTAGAGATAAAAAGTACGAAAAATTGTTTGGTTTGATTTTTTTCAAAAGATGTTTTAGAAAATTATTTTGAGAGAGTTTTGGAAAAAATGATTGATTTGATGTGTGTGAGAGAAATTTGTTTGGAAAACTTGTTTGGTTTACAAGTTTTGAGAAATTTTTTTGGGAAAATTTGTTTGGTTTGATTACTTTTAAAAACTTATTTGTAGAGAAAATTTCCCAAAAATTTTTCAGAAATACAAACCAAACGAACCCAATGTAGATTTGGAGTGCCTACTTGTCTCGGTTTGTGAGAATGTGTTGCCCAGCCTCTCAGGCTTGTGAGTGGCAGCAAACTGTAGGCTAGGTCAGTTTTGAGATGCTTCATTTGTGAGGTAATGGGATTTTTGGCTGTCTTTGTGTCTTTGGACATGTGACTTGAGCTAGACATAATCAAAGAGTTGATACTCTTGATCAAAGGTTAACAATTTTCATCTTTCATTCTTGTACACAATCAAAGAGTTGGTGATATTTTCTTTGATATAACATTTCATGCTTATTTGAGTATTAGCAATGATCTTGGAGATTGTGTAGTGCTTACCCTCAAACTTCTTTGTTTACACAATACTGATATTCTTTGTTTCTCTCTTCATCTTCACATTCCTATCTCATAATCTCTCAGGGCCTATTTTAACAAATGAGTTAATTAAGTCCAATATTTTCAAAGATGAATATGATGATGATGATGAAGATTCAAAGCCCGGTAGGATGCTACTATGGTAATTCGACGCACTGGTCACAAATATGAATCCCTGAAGTGGTGCACTACCAGGTGAATGTAAACCACAGTTGGAGCAAAGAGAAAATTCTTTATACAAAAAGATAATAGAACTGGGACAAACCTTCTGTATGGAGGAAGCTTTAGAAGATTCATACAAGTAGCTGATGTTGGTAATCGATCAAGAGTTTCTTCAGAAGCATCACCACCAGCCCTAAGAGAATACTCAAAAATAAATTCTCAGCAACTGAAGGAGTGCTAAGAAAGAAAATAGTACATATGAAACTCATACAGAACACAACAGCAACGGCTATCACCTTTGTATGCAGAATAAAGGTTCCAGGTATTTAAATCCAAGCAAAGGTCCTCGAGAGCACCCAGTTACAAACCTGAAAGAGAAAACGCATACGAATAAAGACAAAGAAAACAAAACAAAACATTTGGTTATTGTCCTTTTTAAAAGATCTTTTTATTCCTTGAGTATCCTTTTCAAAAGATTTCAAAGCCCTAACAACTACCTACATAACTACAGCCATGCACGGAGTGCCATTTATGTTGGTAAAATATTATAAAGCAATTATCATTATTTGAGTAAATTCACGCACTAGTTCATCTTAGATTGACTGGTAAAGAATTCAAATGAAACAATGTTATACAACACTTAGAAAAAAAAAAATTGGTTTGCTTCAAAATTGGCCTGGAAATAAACATGTATGATTGAACACAACAGGGCACCGTGTCAGAAAAGTTCTCAAAGCCCTTTATTTAATTTAAGAGGAGAGTGCCAAGGCAACCATAGGGGAGAGAGAGGGGGTGGTAGGGGAGAGCCCTGTATGCCAGATGTAAGAAATAATGTATAGAGAAAGAGAGAGAATAAATTGTATGATATAGCGCGGTGAGCCATGTGGGGCAACTTAGTTAGAGATAGGTGGATCAACCCCTTGGCTAGACAAAATGGCGGGAACTCAACTCTGCAACCTTAGCATTAGCCTCAGGAGATGTATCACGTATAGACAATGGGTAGTTATGAAACGTTCATTTTTGGTGTGTCATGATAGCTCAGAGTACTGTCATTTTACCAACTTAGCAATGCTTTTTTCCAAGAAACAGGAACAAATATTCAATATACTAACTCAGAAAGGTTTTTTCCCAGTTAATCCTTTTTTCTTTTTCCCTTCCCCCAAATTGAATCATTCACAAAGAGAAACAAAGAGAGAAAGATAATAAAATCCAAATCCAAAACTCCATCCATCAACCCAAAAGAGGGGAAAATGACATCACTTTGTAAAAGACGAACAAAAAGAAGATACCACGCCAAAAAAACAATGGTATAAACAAAGTAAAACTTGGATTTACTTCTAAGGAAATTACACTAAGAACATACATGAATAAATTTAACTGCCATATGAACAACTGCAGCATGTATACCATTATGTAACCCACACATCAGAGAATTTAAGAAGTTAATGATAAATGAAGAACTCACTTCAAAAATTTCATCTGATTTTCCCTGGAAAAATTCCTAAGAACTTCCCAGAACATATCAATGACATAATGATCCTGTAAAAAAATATATATATATATGTAGCTATCATTAACTGCAAAAATACCAAAGATTTAGTGATACTAAAGGCTTGATAATGAAAACAGGTATTAAAAATCTAATGCATTTCATACTTCACATTCCTTCTATTTAATAGATTTGTACACCATACTTTTGCTAGAAAGGAGTTTATTGTGGTAGCAAAATTTTAAGGTCTTAATCCAGACAGTTAAAATTGATGTATATTGATTGATTGATTACAAGATTGTTGTATTACAATTCCTATACAATCTATATATAGAAGAAAATGTGGTAGTAGGTGTAGTGGAGGTGATAGTGGGTTAGGTGAAGTGGAGTGTGTGGTGAAGTGGAGGTAGGTGAAGTGGAGTGTGTAGTGGAGTAGGTGAAGGTAAAGATGAGAAATTCTAACAGCCCCCCGCAAACTCAAGGAGGAGAGAAACTAACCAACTTGAGTTTGGAGAGAGTAACAAAACAAGAAAATACATAAAAATAAAAAAGGATAGGAGACACTGTATGGTCGTGTCAGACCATTGGTGAAGACACTGGATGGTGGTGTCATAACGTTGTAGATGTAATAAGTTGCTTCTTGCTTTGATAATTGTTCCAAATATATTTAGCATTTGCTGCCACTGCTATGAATCACCTGTACTGCTCATCAAGAAATCGCACCTCAAGATTCTGCTAGCTCCATTGCCTTTTAGAATTGGGAGTTTTCCTGACTCAAGCAGACCGGGATTAAAAAATTTATGATGCACTGAATTCTTTTCATGAGAAAGATAAGATTTTGGGATTATCAAGTGTTTGTTTGTTCTGAATGATACAGCTAAGATGTTAATTTTGTGGGTGTTAGTCCATTTCTTCTTTTTTCAGAACAAGATGTATGCTTCTTAAATTTTGGATATCGTAAATTTGCTTGTCTATTTTGTTTCCTCTTCAATCCTTTTACCATTTATGTATAGGTAGAACAATATATGGTTCTACTATCTTCTTGCTGTTGGATTGGATGGGATTGAAATTACAGGCAAGCAAAGGATGCCTTGAAGCTACTCAAGAAGCGTCTGGGGAGCAAAAATCCTAAAATACAGCTGCTTGCTCTTTTTGTCAGTATTCTCTTCTATTATATTTTTCTGAAAATGGCCTTTGTCATTGTTCATGTTCAACATGCTCTATTTTACTGGCAATCAATTGGCCTGATTTGTTATAGCAATAGGTATTTTACTTCATTATATTCAATGGGTAAAATTTATCTGGTAGAGGCGCAAAGGGGGCCACATCCCATGATCATGACATATACATATATCAACACAAATAAATCTGAACAAAAGACAAATCTAATTGTCATTACCTGCAACCCAAAATATGATGATGATGATGAAGATTCAAGGCCCGGTGAGGAGCTACTATGAGTAATTCGACGCACTGTCACAAAATATGAATCCCTGAGTGTGCACTACCAGGTGAATGTAAACCACAGTTGGAGCAAAGAGGAAATTCTTTATACAAAAGATAATAGAACTGGGACAAACCTTCGTTATGGGGGAAGCTTTGAGATTCATACAAGTAGTGTGTTGGTATCGATCAAGTTCGTTCAGAAGCATTCACCACCAGCCCTAAGAGAGATACTCAAAAAAAATAATCTCAGGACTCAAGGAGTCAAGAAAGAAATAGTAATCATATGAACCATACAGAACCCAACAGCACGGCTATACCTTTGTATGGCAGAATAAGGTCCAGGTATTTAAACTCCAGCAAAGGCCGCGAGAGGCACCCAGTTTACAAACCTGAAAGAGACAACGCATACGAATAAAGACAAGAAAACAAAACAAAAACATTTGGTAATTGTCTTTTACAAAGATCTTTTTTATTCTTGAGTATCCTTTCAAAAGATTCAAAGCCCTAAAACTACCTACGCATAACTCAAGCACTGCAACGGAGTGCATGTATTTGGTAAAAATTATAAGCATTACATTTTTGGAGTAATTCACGCACTAGTTCATCTTACGATTGACTGGTTAAAGAATTCAATGAACAATGTTATTACAACATTAGAAAAAAATGGTGTTGCCTTCCAAATTGGCCTGGAAATAACATTATGATTGAACACAAACAGGGCACCGTGTCAGAAGTTCTCAAAGCCTTTAATTTTAATTTTAAGAGGAGGTGCCAAGGCAACCATAGGGAGGAGAAGGGGGGTAGGGGAGAGAGCCCTGGTTATGCCAGATGTAAGAATAATGTATAGAAAAAAGGAGAGAATAAATTGCTGTATTATTAATGATTGATGTAATGTTATCAATTGAATACTGATCTATTACAAATGTTCTATAAATAGAGTAGCGATAGTAGGTTGTAGTGGATGGTGTTAGTGGTGTAGTGGTTAGTTTAGTGGAGTAGGTGGGTGTCGTGGTTGTAGTGGGTTAGGTTTAAGTGGAGTAGGTAGAGTGGGTAGTGGTGGAGAGTGATGGATAAATTTAACAGGCCCCCGCGCAAACTCAAGGGAGGATAGGAAACTCGAAACTTGAGTTTGAGGAGAGTAACAAAATAAAAATATACCATAAAAATAAAACGAGGATGGAGCACTGTAATGGTCGTGTCAGCCATGGGAAAGACACTGAATGGTGTGTCATAACGGTTGTTAGAGGACACATGTATGGTGGTGTCCAGAAACCGATGTAGAGGAACAGTTTATGGGGGTCATGGGGCGTCGGACCGTTTGTAGAAGACACGTTTTATCGAGGTCATGCGCGGAGCGTTGTAGCACTATTGTGCAGTTTAGTGGACAGTTATCATCTGCTGGCACCCTTGTAGAAAACTAACGAATCCAATGTCGGGAC